GAATGTTTTAAAAGTATTAACACAAGTTCATTAAGTGAAAAATATTGCAACTTATAAACTCAATTTTTCTTTTTTTTAAAGGATTTCTTTTCTTTGTTAAACATACTTGGAGTAAGGAGAGATTTAGTCAGGCAGCAAGTTTTACTCTAACAAATAATACAAAGACAAGTTGCAGTTTTTTTAAACTACTTAAATCCAGAGCAACAAATTTGTTTAATTCAAAACTGAAAATCATCAAAAATTTCTATGAAAATTAACAATTTACTATTCAAAATAAAAATTGCTCTTCTAAGAGGATGAAAATATTTGATGCAGCCTGACATAAAATGTGACAAATAGTAATGCATAGATACCAAATTCATTAAAAAAAGAAAAAAAGGATGTTTAAATGCTAAAATTTTGCTTGAAATTCTAGACAAATGTTAGTACTGACTCAATGTGACTTTAATTTTTATTAGAAATATTGATCCATTTTTTTTTAACCTGTAACATAATAATAAGGTAAGTCTTATTTTTCTGCATACATTCCACATTCTTTGAATGTGATAAACACATGCTTTCATTTCCTAAATTTAGTCAAACTGGAAAACAATAAATATTTGCAACCAACCAGTCAGTAAGTAAGTAAATTCAGTAGATTTTAAATTTTATTGTTTATACAAAACTCCTATGAAATTTCAAACACATGTAATCTTATCTATAATTCTATCATATTAAAAAATAGAAGATATTTCATTTATTTTATATCATAACCTGTGCAGAAGTATTTCTTAAATACTCTATAAGTTGGTATACATGATTGTTTTTATGCTCAAAGCAGATAGGAAAATGGTATTTTAAATGATGATAGATTAAATTTGCAAAGGTTCACTGTATTCTATAAAGTATAAAGAGGTTTGCCAATCTTTCATGAGCATAATTTTACCTTTTGTATGGATTTATATAAAACCCCTTTCCCAGTAGTCAGATGATCCCGCTGAGTTATTGCCCTTGGCACACTAGAGAACTAGTTAGCACTTTAGGCATGATAGATAGCAGATATCACAACCAACATCTAACTTCATACCTTGTTGAATAAAAAAAAAAAGATATTAAGTATTAGTCAGCAGCCTTACCTTGACTTAACTTAAAAGGTAGAAATTTTCTCTAATAATGACAATCCCTTTTTGTAAGTACAATGTTTATGTAAAGCTTTATTGTCTCTCTCATTGGTCATGTTAATTCACTCCTCTTGGAAAAGCCTTTTGATGAACTTTGCAAGAAGGTTATATCATGTTCAATAGTGTCAATGCACAAAACATATCTCACAGTTATTGGAACATAAGCACTAGGTTATATTACCCCATCAGAATTTCTCAAGCAGGTTGACAGAGGGTTCAGTAAATGAGCACAGTCAGGTACATTTTCATTCAGCAAATATCAACTCAGTATAGCTACTTGCCTCACTGAATGAATCTATGCCATGAGAGCATATCACATAATGGATTTACTGTCAGCATCAGCTGTGTTCAGCATACAAGTGCCAGGCATAATGTCCTTACAGAACTAATAGCAGGACAGCAGAGATTAAAATCCTGCATGAACAAAATGACAGAAGACATAGTGTGTTTGTTGCTTAAGGAAAAGCACAATCATGGACATAGTGGTTCAAATAATCATTCCAGTGAAAGTAGATAAAAACCAATATGTTGAAAACACAAAAGACTTGGAGTAAAGGTGAATTCTTATGGTCATCCATGTTATTTCAATGAACAAGGAAAAACGGGAGAAAGTGGCATAAACTCTCAGTGCTGCTAGCTCTGGCCACATACTTTACATGAGTAATAAAGCTACTGGAATATCATTCTTAGTGGACAGCACTGCATAAGTGTCTCTTCTTCCAGCAACAGAAGCATATAAGTTCTAAGTTGAATAAATTTGACTTACAGGCCATAAATGGTTTGTTAATACATACATATGATGAAAAGTATATGGTGCTCAATTAGGTTTATGCAAAACACACACTCACATTCTTACAGTTGCTCATATGAAAAGTACTATTTGGTCTTACTGACCTAAATTGCTAGTGATTAAGAGACCCAGAAACACACCTTAAAGCATCTGAAGTTGTTAGGTCTGGCACCCTATTATGTCACTCAACACAATGCATTCCTCAAAATTTTAAAGGAGTATCTTTCCATTCCTTTTATAAGGAAGTTTTGCCATACACAATTACACATAAACAATCAGACCACCCAACCATAGTAAAGCCAGATGCTTGGCACCAAACAAAAGCTGCTAAAGCAGAATTTCAACTGATGATGAAGTTACATATTACTTCACTCAAAAAGTTCCAACATCTGGCATGCATGTGGAGACTACATGGCACTGAATTCCATTATGAAACCTGATAGGTACCCAGTACATATGGGACATGACATAACATAACAGTTGCTAAAACCATAACACCTGTGGAGCCAGAACACATTCCAAAAATGGCTATTGTTGCACTATTTGGGTTGTCTGATTTTGTACAGGCACTGTTTGGCTTGTGAAAAGCAGCCCAAACATTCCAAAGATTTATAGACCAGATCTTACATGATTTCCTGTTCATCTGTATTTACGTCAATGACATTCTCTTTGTTAGCTGGAATATACGGGACCATATTAGTCATGTTAGGCAAGTGTTTGAATGCTTGAAACAATATGGCATTGTAATAAACCCAATAAAATGCGTTTTCAATCAAACCAAAGTCACATTTTTTAGGATAAGGTTAAATCTATTCAAGATTCCCTAGCCCCATGATGAGACACTTGCACCAATTCCTAAAGTTCATAAACTTTTATCATAGGTTCCTCCCACACACTGCACAAATACTTTTGTAATTTACTAATATGTTAACCAATGTACAAAAAAAAAACAGCACTATCATATTGTCAGAACATGCCATAACAGCAATCAACAAGGTGAAATTACTGTTAGTGCATCCAGCCCAATCATGAACTGTGCCTGGTGGTAGATGCTTCCTCAATTGGCATTGGAGCCTGTCCTGCAATAAAAATGTAACTCAGAATGGAAAACAATTTCTTTCTTCTCCAGAAAATTGTCAGAGTCAGATAAACAGAGCATGTTGTTTGGTAGAGAATTGTTAACTACATTCTCTGCAACATGATATGCCCATCAACAATTCCATATATTAGCAGGCTATAAGCCTTTACTTAGAGCCTTGCAACCTTTTAGACAAATAATTTCCATGAGAAATTTGCCAATTAGACAACATACCATAATTGACATCTGACATATCAAAGGAGCAAATAACATCCCTGCAGACACCTTATCACATGGAATCAATTCCTTTTTGGAGAAGTCCTATAGATTTCTACACTTTGTCCAGAGAACAAAAAAAAGGATGAATATCTACAAAGCCTTCTCCAGGACAATAAGATTTAGACCTAGTGACAATCACTACTCCAACCTGCAGAAAAAAAGATCATCTTTGACACTAGCACTGGTAGGTTATGCTCATATGTGCCAATAGTTTTACACAGACATATTTAACGCCATGCATGACTTATCACATCCTGGAGCCAATGCATTTATATGCCTGTTAACTGATAGATTACCCTTGCCTTGAATTATGACAGATGTGAGATCAAGGGATGAAGTTATACTTGAATTGTCAGAAAGCAAAGTTTGATCACCATACTCATGTTCCTCTATGCACATTTCCAATAGCTGATGAGAGATTTAAACATATTCATATTGACATTACTCAGCAATTTCCTACATGTGAATGACAATCCCTCTTTGTAAGTACTATGATTATGTAATGCTTTGTTGCATCTCTTGCATTGTGCATGTTAATAAAATGAAGATTATTAATGTTAATAAAATGATGAATGCTATCTTGCACCCTTCATTTTTAATTTGTATTTATATGTTTGGGAGCTGAACAAAGAATAAAGCTGCTATTTAATAACAACCCAAAACTTCTTACTTCCTTTTTTTGTTGATGCCATAGTGTTTTTAAAAACTTAATTATTTACAAAACACACCTACCTGTAACAAACTTTTCTACAAATTTTCTTTTTAATTAGTTTTCCTCAAAAATCAGTTAAATTTGATTGCAATTTGTTGAAAAACTTTTTAAATACTGTGAGAAACTGGTATCACTAAAAATAAATAAGTAAATATTAAATTTACCAAAGGTTATAGATTTGCTGCCTACAATTTCATCAAGGGAAATGACTTGTCAAGTTGAGCTAAGAAAATATGACTGCATGTAACTACTGAAACTTATCACTTTGCAGTACACATTTTTATGAAATTTTAACATTTTTTATTATATGTCTACAGTTTGTCTCTTATGTTATTAAATTAATACACCACATTACTAAATATATTATTGTGTGTAAAATTCTCTACATGAAAATAAATTTGGAAAATATGCCTGATTAATTTGTGAAGATACTTGCATTTTATTATTGTAGGTTGTAAATGTACATAAAATGCATGTTCAATAAGAATTTCTGGCCCTGGAAACTTAAACTGCTTTAAATTCTAAAGTGCACACAGAAAAAAAACATCAATTAAATTTGTAAAGCTGTATAGATTACTAAATTTATTATCTAATGATATTGAATGTGTGAATGCACAATAATAAGGTACTTTTATTTTAGGATAAAATATGTTGTAAATGTAAGTGAAATGCAATGTTTTAGGCATTAGAAGTACAGGTTGTTATGAACAACAAATACATCAATTGATACTTATTGAGAAATGTGCCTTAGCATTTACACATTGTCATATTATTTCATATTGGTTTACTGAAAATATTCTATTTTAAAATGTTTATAACTTATTCTAATTCAGAAAAAATATCATCCACATTTAATTTAGCCACTCTTCTTTCTAAATTGTATAAGTAATTAGATTTTGTTTAAAACAAGAAATTTCTCAACACATTTCAAAAACCTTACAAAGAAATACTGAATTATTATAAAAAATTGATTTTCTGCATTCAATTCAAGGTTGTGGAACCTGGCAGAGAATAATCTGGCTGGTTTGATTCTGAGGTAGTTTCAGAGTTGGTAGCTGAGTTATTCAATGAAAGATCTGGATGGATGATCACCGATTCAGAAAGACGACTCAAAGCAGCCATTGCACATCTCTGCTGTATTTCAGACCTGACTGAGGGTGTGGTTGGTATGGAAGTAGAGTTCTCTGCAAGAACATCGTCTTCTGGGATGACCTCTCGACATGGTGTTTCTCCAAACAAAGTAAAAAGATCAGCAGTAGTTAATGTTGTATCATGTCTGTCTGTAACTGGCGTGTTTTTTTTTACATTAGACAGCATGGCATGCATTCGCTCCTCAATTGTACTTTTGATGAAGAATCGATGAATCACAGTTGGTCTAAACAAAAAGTAATAAAGATTAGATTTAAGAAAAGAAAAGCAAAGAACATGAAAAATGCTAAGAAACTAATATAGAGAATCTATTTTCTGCTTTTGGTTAAAAAATGAAAAGATTTTCATCAAATATATACCATATCATATATTTACAGACATATTTAGAGACAAAGAGGTAAAAACTGGAGTTGACACATGAATATTTGAAAAAAATCAAGTAAATTTTGGAAATTATGCTATTTGGTCAAACAAAAATACAAATTAAAATCTTTGGCCACAATTCAGTTTAATATGAGTGGAGAAAAGATTCTTGCACTGATGATCTAAGAAACATCACAGCCACAGTAAAGAACAGAGTTAGGAATATAATAAAGTGATATATTGGTTTACATTCTCTAGATTGCACCTGTTAAAACAGAATGGTTGAATCACCTAACAAGGCAATGATCAAAATTAAAAGATGAAAGCAATTTAAGAGTCATTTATAATAAACAATATAGGAGTATATCAATGACCAAAGCTAATATTTTTATATGAATGCTTTTTGAAAGCATATAATTTATTATTTATTTATTCTTGTCACTGGGAAATACGCAATGAAATTGGACATTCCCAAGTGCACCAATACAAAAAGACATATTAATTGATTTCTTGATTCATTTTCTATGGCTTATCAACCCAATGAAGGTTATTTAAAGCTATTTAAAGCTAAAAAATTATTTTAGAATGTAAGATTTTTTGGAGGGGGATAATTGTTTAGTGATATATTTTGCTAATTAACCCATAACTGGAGGGAAAAGAGGCAGATTCTTAACTTTCTCAAGGGTTCTTGTGTGTAAGTAAACAGGAATTGGAACTTGGCTCTCCAATTAACAATTCCAAGCCATCATCAATTACATCACCCACACATCCAAGCTTACAGCACCTGGTATTCCCAAGCGGTCACCCATCTAGGAACTGGCCAAACTCAACATTGCTTAACTTCAGTCATTGAACAGGAACAAGTAAAACATACATATATATACCAACATGCAGACAACACAGATGAAACAAACGCACACACGGCATTGAATGAAGTAATGGTGTTTAAAATATGCTTAAAATTGTCAGCATGCAACAGTGTTCACAGGACCCAAGGATAAAAGTTTTCCCTCAAGCACTTTGTCCTAGAACTAATAGATCTAAAACATTGCTTTGAGGGTAACAAATCAAACAAGTTTTACCAAAGATGCATGCTATCTTTCATTGTTTTCTGTTCTGCTGTGACAGTGAGAATGAGGAAGGCAGCAAATAGCCGGTTATTTTCTGGGCAACATTTATAACCCTCTAGAGAGCCCTGCTGCTGCTGCTGCTGCTGAGCAGTTAGCATAGCAAACAGTGATGTCATGTATGCAAGCAAACATTCAATAGAGCAGTGGTAGCAGGACAGCAGAGATTCAGCAACTCCCTTTTTAAATAATTTTTTTCCTTAGAATTCTCAGAATTTTGGATTTATGTAAACTGAACAAAATAATTATATGCGATGAAAGCTTAAACTTTGACTGAGTGTGGTGTATATATATATATATATATATATATATATATATATATATATCTTAAACGTTATTTCTAATGGCTAGCCATATTTGGGTAGACAATCTGGTTTTTATTTTTAAACAGTATATTTATTATCATCTACCAGCCTGAATATTTGAGAAATCTTATTAAAAAAAAAATATGCACCCCTTTAGCAAGATTCAAACTTGCATTCCATTTGCAGGAGATACCATCATTAGATCCAACATGCTTATACTGACTCAACCACAAAGGACATTTGCCAATTAAGCAAGTGCCTTTAGTGAAATTGTTCATGTAATAGATTCTCAAAATTTCATCTCTGCTTAGTTTCAAATCCAAATGCAAACTAAGTAATTTAGAAATTTGTTATTTATTAATCCAACAGATTTTGTTATTTAAAAAAATATCTGCTTTTCACCTACACCTACCTTTTTCAGTTTTACTTATGTTCAACTAAAATAAAATATATGTACTATATATAACAATCACTTATTTTCCTAATCTAAACTATTGTATAACAGGAAATTTTAAGCTCATGTAATGCTTTCATAGTAGTTAATTATGAGTTTAATATAATATGAACATATGCTATTAATCTTTTAATTTATATTTTGTAACCAGAAGTGAAATGGTAAAAGAGAAAATTGTTGAATTAGGTAATGACTAAGATATGTTCATGTTTTTAAAATTATAAGTGAATATCAAAAGTAAGCTAATTTTGAGAGTTAGTGCTCATATCACATAGAGGTAACTATCTTTGCCTTTCTTGTAAATTTATTTCTTTATTCAGTTACTTGCACAAATAATTTTACATATTAACTTAATATATATATATATATATATATATATATATATAGAGAGAGAGAGAGAGAGAGAATACTACAGTAATTGTCATCAGCTCATATTAAGCACAAATTGAAAATGCTTAGCAAATATACCTTAGACAGAAAAATATGCAATGTATAATAATAATAGATTTGGTAACTTGGTAAAAAAAAAAACCTTGGTAAAACTTACTTTTTCTGTCCAATGCGATGAACTCTGCCAATGGCTTGTAATTCTTGAGCAGGATTCAAAATTGGTTCAGTTAGGATGACGTGTGTTGCTTCAATAAGGTTAAGGCCATTGCAACCAGAATGAACTGGTAGCAGTAGTGCCACTACATCACTATCATTTTTGAACTGGTATAGATTTTTCTGTACACACAAAAAAAATCATAAGATTTTAATTTTTTAAATATATATTCTAAAACTCAAAAATGACATTTTAATAGAAAAATCTTAGAAAAATTAAATTAAGGCAAATAATTATATCAACATGCTTTTAAATTACTTACAGGATGGAAGATAATTATTTCTGTGCCCTTTAGATTTTCATAAAATATATCTTACCAAACAATAGAAAAGACAATCTTCTTTAATTTGCAAAAGTAATATCATAAAAATTATCAATAATCAAAATAATTTTGACTGTTCAGATATGAATGCAGTAATTATAAAATAATAAAGCCAAAAATTACCTGGGCTTCTTTTTTAGCAGATGTTAATAAACAATATTTTATGTCATTACATGCTAGGGCTTTGCCTATAATATCAAGTACACTTTGCCACTGAAAATAAAAAATAAGAGAGAAAAACAAAATACAGGTATTGAGGTGTAAGCATGATTGTGATTCAAAATTTTTATGGGAAGGGGTGAATATGTAAATTTAAGTCTAGATATGCAAATGAAAACCAACTTGATGTTTAATTCAATAAGAGAGTGAGCCAGAAGAAGTAGAACATTTACTGATTTAAATTCAAATAACACATGCTATGGTTACTTTTCATGAAATTTAGAGGGAAAAGTAAAAATCTGTGTAATATTTTCACAAATTTAAAAAATATATAGAAAATAATGAAGATATAATAAATTGTTTTTTAAAATTCAAATTTTGTCAAGAGGAAATAATACCTAATTCATAGATGGAAAGAAATCACCCATTCTGATTTTGCTGCTGATTTGTTGCAAATAAGATTTTCATGATGATTGCTTTGTTTTTAAGTGATATCACTGATGACAAAATGGCAGCTTTTATTTCTGCATTTACTGCCACTAAGACAAACACAAAATCAAGCAGAGCTAAGTTATTTACTTCCTCTTAGGACAGTGTACAAAGAAAAAAACAGAAATCAATATATATGTAAAGGAAAAAGTAAAGCATTTAAAGAATACATTAACATTTATATGGGTCATGAAACATTCAGTATCATTTTCTTAGTCCAGGAATTTTACAAAAATAGATTTAATTAATTAAGCAAAGGGTAATATTTTTGTGCATATCTGTACCTTTTAAAATAATCACATAAAATTTTGTTCATTACATCAAACTTACAGTAGAAAAAACTAAAGCTTTTGCAGTTGGATCTTCAAGGCGCATCTTCATCAAGCACCGGACAATTGTAGAAACTTTAGTGGAATGACTGCCCTATAAAAATAAATTAAAAATTACATAACTGGTTGCTTCAAAATGAATCATTCAATCTAAATTACTAAAATATTTTTGTTTATTTTTATTACAGACTTATCACTACTTTTATAATCACAAGAAAACTAGTATAAACATTGTTTTAAGGTTTATTTAGATATTTAAATAAACAAAGACCACAAACATTTATTATACTTGTTCTCTATAAAGAAACAGATCTTACCTTTATCCTTAAGCCACTAATTTCATTTTTGGAGACTGTTGAAACATGGTTAATATCATTATGATGTGTAGTATGCCTACAGGTGGCACATTTGACATAATTAACACTGCGCTTCACTAACAGATCCATACAAGACAGACAGTAGAAGTGACCACACATCAATACAGCCCACTAGCAAAATAAAAGAAACATGCAAAACAAAAATTATAAAAATAATGACTTTTGCATAGAGAAAATGTAAACAGTTTTTATTTAAAGTAAATATTTTCCAAATATTCTGCATGTGAAAGAGAAAAAAAAAATCAAATAAATATCTGATTCCCAATATTATATAAATTGTAGTAATTTGATACATATCAGGCAAGGAGATTTTAATTGCATGTAATACTCAAATGAAAATACTCTATATTTTTATGTTATGTATTTTACTTTCAGCACAAAAATGTTAATATTTACCTCTGTTTTTAAGGCCTCAAAGCATATGATGCACTGAGTTGGGCTTGAGTTATCTGTGTCAGTTTTCTGCAATCATAAAACATGACAAGGTGAGTTAAAAAAATTGAAATTAAAAACAACAATCATTTGATCTTATAAATAGATTGAACATTTATTAGATTATGTTTTATAAGGTTTCTTTTTATTTTTATTCGTATTGATACATTTTACAGATCTGAAATTTTTACAAATTATATAATTATTAATAAAATGTAAAAGAATGCATTTTTAAAAAGTGACTGAAATTATTCATTAAATATCTTCATCTTAAACCACTGATTTATTAATTACAAATCAATTTTCTAATAATACTTTTTCATAGAATTTTGTTAATTACAATATCACTATAAAAGGTTGGAAAAGGCTTGATATAATTTACCTTTATTTTAAGCTTTAAATAAAATATTAATTTCATTTAATGTGTATGAATTATTTATATCATAAATTAAACATTATTCTCTAAAATATCTAGAAAAATATTTTATTATTCAAAATTCAAGCGATAAACAGAGGCAAGATGTTAGAACATCTGGTAAAACATTCAGCAGACATCTGAACTTTTGAATAACAGTAAATAAATTTGTAAACATTTCCAGTTTAACATCATCTCATACAATCACAATTATATCTTTTTAATTGTTACAGCAGTAGTTGAATGAATCAATAAAAAATACCAAAAATATCCAACCTTTGCTAAATTCTGGAGGTAAAACAGCTGTCCAAGTTTGTATTTCAAGTTGTTATCAGCTTGTTTTTTATCAAATTTTAGTTGAGTTTCAATACTTGAACACTAAAGAGAAAAGATTAAAATATATAACTAACTATACACACACAAAAAAGAAAATACAATGGGTAACAAAAATCTCTCATTATAGTCTTTTAAAGAATGTCTACATTAACATATTCAGTGACAGCATTTTAATAAATTAAATACTGTCCAAGAGTAGAGAACAGTAATATCCACACTTCCATTCTGACTATCAATTCTTCAGGCCTCTATATAATGTACAGGAGACAGCAACAGTTATCAACAAAGAAACTGACAGGCAAACTGTCCACTCCTCCCTATATTGCGTTATTTTTTAGGTTAGTCATCTGTTCCAGTTAAGTTGGTGGCAGAGTTCACACAAAGGGAGTCTCAATCATTCTTCTCTGATTATATTTGTATCCCAGCCAAATTCAAGAGGCCCTGATTATATTTGGAATCTAAACAAAGGCAATTAACCATAAAACTCTGGGAATTTTACCTCCAGCCTTCAACACTTGATATATTGACATTTCTGAGTCACTTATTAATTTCTATCTTTTATCAGTAACTTATTTTCCTATTCTTTATTTTGGGGACTGAGCCATTTTGAGTTATAAATTTATTTCTTATTGCCAAGGAAATTTAGTATTTTCATTTGCCTTGTAAGCTTCAGATGTGGGTTTTTTTTTAGCTTTAGTCTTTAGTTTACAAAATTAACAATCTAGAACCATTAATCATTTTTCTATTTTCATAAAAATTCTAATATTTATCTTTTTCAGTCAGGCTTATTTTTCTACCCTATACTGGAGGAAGTGTTACTCTCATACTTTGGTCCAAGCAGCAACACACATTGCTTCCACTTCCCAGATCAGGCTGACCATTTTTTTATTTCCTCATGAGTTTATTTTAGCTGGAACCTTTATTTTTTCTTAAACTCAATATCTAGGGTAGTTGTTAGGGCATGCTTATATACGCTAGTGCAACTTATTCATCAAACTTCTTGACACAGGAAGATTGATGTAAGGAATGTCATCTGAATTGGGTGACACTCCTAACCCATGATTTAACTACTCAATTGGCTTAGAAAAAAACTCAGGCCAGATTTATATATTACCACAAAATGAAAAATAAACTATGAATCCCAAATGAAGAAAAGAAAAGCATAGTAAAGCTGTTAATAAAAATTCTTTAAAATTTTCATCCTAACATCATTATCATTAAAAAAATTCTATCGAAATGTGGGATAACAAAATAATTAAAGTCTAGATAAAATGCAACATATTTTTGGCAAAATTTAATTACAATATACCTAACCAAGTTGCAAATATAAACAAAGAAAAGGAACAAATATAAAACATGATAAGCAAAATGTCTGTTAGTTTCACATGCTGCTAAACTCTCCTGATAATGAGTGATAACATGATTTGAGGTCTAAAAATCATTGAAGCTCAGCATCATAATGTGACAAAGACTTGTCAAAAGTACTAATGATAAATAGAGCCTAACTATAATTTACATGTATAAAAGTAAGACCAAAAATTACAAGTGTATTACTGTTATACAGTAATTGTTAAAAGTTTATTATTAGTAGTAGTAGCATTGATAGCATTTTAATGGATGGTAACTGTTGGAATAGATAAAAAATATTCTTTGAAACTCATATCTTGATCCTTTTCTTCCAGATAAAAAAAACAAACTGTTAAATCTAATTCATGAGGATCCTTTAAATTTTCATTTAAATAAAATGCCTCATTACAAGAGGCAACTAAAATTAGTGCTGGATTGTTCAAATATAATGAAATAAAATGACACATGATAGAAAAAAATTAATATAAAAAAAATGCCACTTACTTCATGTGGAAGTATAACATTAATTGAATCTTTATCTCGCTTTTCACCAGGATATGGCAATCGAAGTCGAGTCATACACATAGAGATTTCATCATAAACTCTTACTTGTTCCCGCAAACTTAAAACTAATTTGTTCATCAGCTGAAAAAGATACATCTGGAATCTTAACATTTTAAGAATTTTATTTCTGGAATCTGAAACATTTTAAAAAGTAATTTTTACAAATTCAATTAGAATGCTGTAAAATTCTTATGAAAACTAATAGCAAAAAATAAAATTTTTAGTAATAATTGGATATCACAAAAAATCAAAAAACATTATAATTAATAAGTCATGGAAACAAAATTATCAGAGGCCAAGTTAGCAACAACTAAATTTAAATGCTTTATCAACAATACTCTATCAACTTCTTTTGACAAGGTGTTCATTATAACTAAAGTTAAGATAATTATAATAAAAGAACAAACCAATCAAACTACATTCTGATGGTTCAGGAACATTACTAAAAACCTAAACATAATGATCATTTTATGTTTAGTCCTTTCTTCTTGCTTTCCTTTACTACTTTCTATAGAATTTCTTGTAGTTTCCTTTCTATGTCTGGTATAAACACTGTGTCATCTGCATATTTTGTTAAGATTGTGGCTACCAATAATGAATCCGAGTAGGACTTCTAATTCTCTCAGGATCATCTCACTGCATAGGTTTAATAAGTTTGGTGAAAAGACACATCTTTGTCTTACATCCCTTTCTGTTTTTGTATATTTACTGAATTCATTTTCTATCTGTATCATCCAGGTAGTTTACTGCCAGTATAGGTTCTGGATTATTTTAATATCCTTCACAAATATGTCCAGGTTACCTAGCAGTTTCAACAGTTCTTTGTGACATACTTTATCAAACACTTTTGCATCATCTTATAAAACACAGGTACAAATCCTTCTGCATTTGCATTATTCTTTCTGGTATCATTCTAAGCATAATTATTGCATTTCTTGTTCCACTGTCTTTAACAAACGTGCACTAGTTTTGTCCTATTTCCAGTCTGATTCTGCTGCACACTCTATTCATCAGAATTTGGATTATAAATTTTGTTATATGGTTCATTAAGTAGAATGCTAAAAAAATTAAATGACCACATTAAAATAGCTTCAAGATTATAAAAATAGCCAAAATATCAGTTTTCAAAAAAAAAACAATTAGTAATAAACTGCATCAGAAAAACTTAAATAACAAAAGGAGACAAAGTGGCAAAGACTGAAGTTCATACATGAATATTTTGGAAAAAAAAAAAAAAAAAAAACAAGTAATTTTTGAAAATTATGCTATTTGGTCAAACAAAAATACAAATTAAAACCTTTGGCCCTCACATAGGTGACATAGGTGGGAAAAAGATGCTTGCACTGATGATGTAAGATACATCACAGCCACAGTAAAGAACAGAGTTAGGAATTTAATAAAGTGATATATTGGTTTACATTTACATTCTCTAGATTGTATCTATTAAAAATGAACACAATCATCAAAATTATAAGACAAAAGTAATTCAAGAATTATTTATAATGAACAATATAGAAGTTCTCCAATGGCAAAGACTAATATTTTTAATTGAATACTTTGTTTTTTGAAAGCACAATCATCAGAGGGATTCTAAAAGTCTTGAGATTTTGAAGAGTGGAATAAACCAAGATTTGGCAAGAATACTGTGATAGATTAAATGTTAGTGGAAAAATTGAGCAGAAATTGTAAACAGAGATTTTGCAACTAAACATTAGTGTTGTTAGATTCATGTATCCAAATACTGTTTTTGTCATGCTTGTCTTCATTTTAATTAGATCTATACATTTGCAGATATTTTTCACTCAAATTCTCAAAATTTCACTTCAATATACATTACTTATCTTAATGTCAAATAAATTTATACTCATAATAAACATTATTCCAAGTGTCAAAAAACTTTGTCCTACTGTACTAACTGATAAAAGTAACATAGCTAAAACTTACAGGATATTCTTTACGATAAAGTTCAAATAGTTTCAAATTAATAGCAGACTGCTCATCCAAATCTTTGTTTTCACCTGTTAAAAGAAAATAGTCAAAATCAAATGTAAGCCCTATCAGAAAAATATTACTTCCTTCTGTGTAAGAAAAACAAAAAAAAAAAAAACAATAATTTTAGAACTCAAAAGTTTTAATAGTAATGAAAATTTTTACAACCTACAAACTATGTAGGTTACATCAATAAGTCTGTAGCAGAAGAAATATTTTTCAATATAAACTCATTCTTTGTCAAAACCCTTAATCCAGCACTTCTTCAGAGATCAAACAAACCAAACATTATAAATTGAATATTTCTGTTTAAAAGGTTTCAGGTTATAGACTTATTGATTCACTCTTGTAGTCTTTACTTTTCTTTTGCTTTTTGCCAAGAACACACTCTCTTTCAGATATATATATATATATATATATATATATATATATATAGCTTTTAACTAATTTTCTTTTTCTTTACTTAATTTCAATTTTTCCTTCTTTACCCCCACTATTTCTCTTGCTTCCTCTCCCTTGCCTTTTCTAATTCTTTCTTTAATAATATCATTACGTAGGTCTTTTTAGAATGTATAATTGATTCCAGCTCATAAGTGTAGTGAATCAGGTAGATCTAATCATAGATAAATTAGTGAAACATTCATAGGTACAAACAAGTAATATAATAATATAGATTTTTAAAAAATTAATCTTATATATAATAGAAGATAGAAGCACAATGTAAAATCAATGCTTAAAATAAAACTCACGATAAAGGAATGGAATGAAGTTGGCAATACATTTCAATAATGTTTCCAACTTCCCACTTCCCCAATTGCCATAGCGTCGCATTAAAACTTGATCATGGTCAGTTTTTGCATAATCAAAAAAGAGAATACCACTGGAAATTAAGGAAAGAAAAAAAATGAGTTAATTTTACATTAACAGATAAAGAATAATTTAGCTGTTATTTTTAAAAAGAATTAAAATTCAATGAAAGGAACTGGAAATATTTTACATTTTATTAACACTGTAAACACAGGTTTCGTATTCTTCAATCTCTTTCCGCAAAATGCACATTGAACACCTAAAAAAAAAAAAAAAAAAAAATATATATCATCAAATAAATATAAAATAGTGCATATTTACAATATTTCTCTTTATGCAACTGATAGCTAAACAATGCAAAAAAAAAAAAATCACTAAAGGAATGTATAAAATGATTGAGTTTTATTTGATAATATGGTAGAGTACAAAAAAATCTAGCAGAATGCACAACTGAAAGCCAAAAAAATAAGAACTCATTAAAATAATGTCATGGTAATTTACAAATAAAATTAAAAAGACTTCAACAAGAATTCAAACATTTGTTGACAAAAGATTTGACATTTTTATATTACAGCAGTTTCTTAAGCAATGTTGAGTTTGTGAAATGCCAAGTTACTTCAAAGGTATTTGTGTTTTACATTTTAACATTCCTGATCAATTTTTTAGTAATATTATTTTAACAAAAAGCATAAATGATATATATGCATAAGGACCAAAGATAATGCAAAAAAAGTGTTAAGCACAAAAAGATATTTACGTACAATTTTAAATTCACACAGAAATCAAGATTAGTTTTGGCTATAAAATTTCATTGAAGTAAAAAATTATCTCTTTCACACAAATATATTGCTTTTACCTAATTTTCTTTTTTTTTTTTTATTTTTCACTAGCTTTCTTACACTTCATTTTGAATAGAGTTTATAAACAACTAAAATATTATAAAAGTACAAAACAAAGACAAATTAACATCTCACTTTATATTAACTTACGTGAGCAACTGAAAACTTTTTGGGCGGATACAACAACTTACAGCCTCATTGATTTCACTGGAAGTAGGTAATCTGCCATTATGTTTCTTTAAGCAGTTTAAAAATTTAGTTCTTGCAGAAGTAAAAGCCATTAATTTATTGTGTACAATGTACTTCAGACCAGTAAGTGTGGAAATGCTGGAAAAAGAAATAAAACAACATACATTTAGTAACTACATAAAAGTTGAAAATTCCAACTGAAAAATGTTCTTGTTTTTCCTATACAGAGATAAATTATTTCATTATTGTTGGATTAGCAACAAATCAAGAAGTATTTTCAAATGATGAATACTACTGAAAACCCATTTGTGAAATATATATTTTTTAAAGAAACAAAAAATATACTTACTGGTCAATAAAAGAAGCTTTATCTTTGTCAACAGACTCCAGTTCATCATGAATTTTACCCAAGAGGGCTTCACTTTTGTTTTGATCTTCTATAAGATCTATTGTTTTTGACCACCACTCAGGATCTTCAAACTTTAAATAAGCAAACAAAATAATGTGTTTAAACATACAATAAACATTCTTTTAGGTAATTTATATTGCTTATTAGATATCAGCTATATAGCCCCATGTTTTGATAAAACATCCTTCATTAATTTCAAAAGCTATGGGTACTAGGACATATGATGACCTTTTAAATCTTGCATGAGAATGTAAATTTTTCTCTCACACAATTTTAAAAGAATATTTCCATGACTAAAAAAAAATATGAAAATATACAACTTTTTGAAAAAGAATGAATCTTGCAAAAATGCAGCGTATTTTCATATTAATAGATAAAAAAAGACAAAATGTAGGAAAATGTGGTATATCTTAATATTTCAAAATAAAATTTCTTAATTTGGAGAAAATATCATGTTTTCAAATGAAGAAAATGTGGCATATTTTCATATTTATAAAAGAAAAAGATTATATCAGGACAAAATGTAACATATTTTATATTTCTGAATGAGAAAGAACCATACGCTAGAGAAAATATAGCATGTTTTCATATTTCTAAATAAAAAGGACTAATTATGGACAAATATAGAATATTTTCACACTTCTAAGGACTAATTCTGGACAAAATATTGTATTCCTAAAAGAAAAGGGCTAATCTGGAGAAGATAGAGTACATTTTCATATTTGTAAATAAAAAGGACTAAATCTGTATAAAAAGTAGTATATTTTCTTGTTTATAAATAAAAAGGACTAATTTTGGACAAAATATATCATGTTTTAAAATCTGGACAAAATATTAATATTTCTTATATTTCTAAAAATAAAAGACTAAAGCTGGAGAAATTGTAATATATTTTCATATATCTAAATAAAAATAACTAAATCCATAGAAAATGAATAACATTAACATATTTCTAAATAAAAAGGACTAAATCTGCATAAAAAATAGTATTAATTTTCATATTTTTAAAGGAAAAGTAGTAAATCTGGAGAAAATATAGCATATTTTCATATTTTTAATTAAAAATGACTAAGACTGGATGAAATATAGCATATTTTCATATTTCGAAATGAAAAAGGTTACTTCTGAGAGAATATAGCATATTTACCTATTTCCAAATAAAATAGCCTAAAACTGGATAAAACATACCATACTTTCAGAGTTCTAAATAAAAGGAACCAAATCTATATAAAGTATTATATTTCCATATTTCTAAAAAAAAAAAAAAAAAAAGGACTAAATGGGAAGAAAAAGTAGAATATTTTTGTATTTCTAAATAAAAAGGACTAAAACTGGAAAAAAATATAGCATATTTTCATGTTTCTAAACAAAAAAGAAATCCTGGAGAAAATATTTTTTATTTCTAAATAAAAAGGACTAAATCTGGAGAAAACATAATATATTTTCTTTTTTAGTAAATAAAAATAGCTTACTTTCAAGAGAATATAGCATATTTTCATATTTTTAACAAACAGACTCAATCCGATGATATCCCACATTTTTATAATTCTAAATAAGAAGTACTAAATCTGGAGGAAATGTAGCATATTTTTATATTTATACATGTTTAGGAATACATCTAGGAAAAATATTGCTTATTTTCATATTTCTAAATAAAAAGGATGAAATCTGGAGAAAATGTAATTTTTATATTTCTATTTAAATAGGACTAAATCTGGACAAAAAGCATATTTTCATATTTCTAAATAAAAAAGGCTTACTTTCAAGAGAATATAGCATATTTTCTTATTTCTTAAAAAAGGACTATATCTGGATAAAACATAGCATATTTTCAGATTTTTAAATAAAAATGTCTGTCGGTAGAAAATGTAGCCTATTTTCATATTTATACAGGAAAAGGACTAAATCTAGAAAAAATATAGAATATTTTCATATTTCTACATAAAAAGACTTACTTTCAAACGAATATAACATATTTTCATATTTTTGAATAAAAATGGACTAAATCTGGAGAAAATATAGCATATTTTCATATTTCTAAATAAAAAGGTTTACTTTCAAGAAAATAAAGCATATTTTCTTATTTCTTAAAAAAGGACTAAATCTGGACAAAATATTAATATATTCTCAGCTAGATTTTATTAATATATTCTTAGCTAGGTAATCCCCAGACACATACTATGCGGATGGGAGTGGCTTTGTTTTGACTGCTCTACCATAATAATACATATGAAGAAGATACTGTATGATCATTGTTGAATTGATTTATATACACTACAGGAATTTGTTTTAATTTTTCCTCATGAATTCATCATTTCTGATAATCTAAGTTAACTAGAATGAGACAGCAGTTTTCTTTTTTTCATTTGTACATTGTACTAGTTAAAAGTAAAATTCTTATTTTCAATTCTCTTTGGCCTATCTACATTTTAAGTGACTAACACCCTCTCTTGAAATGTAACAATTCTCATGACCCTGGTGTAACAGGGTAATGGCCCTGGTTGAGCCATACTGGTGAATGAAAAATGGTTAGTGACTTTTAGTAATTTATTGAGAGACTTGATAATTCTGAGTAAAGGAATAGAGATATTATAAAGAGAAAAATATGTGAAAGTGATATTGGTATCCAATGGAAAAAGTCTGGTTTAAAAATATTAATTTAAACCCATAAAATACTTATGAGTAAGATTTAGTAAAATGACACATCTTGGTAAAGCAAAATTTATTGCACCGAAATCAAGCTGCCTTCACCAAAGTGTAGCCACCCTGGTATGATATTCAAAACCTAGACAGGTGTGCTGTATTTAGAGACCAGCACAACAAGTAATGGTTATATTTGGTGCAGTGACCAGAATATCTCAATATAAAATATATATATATATATATATATATATATATATATACATACACACACACCCAAACATGCAAGGAATTATATTGGATGCTGGGCAAAGGGGTTATGCTGGCATACAAGGCATTTGAAGATGCTGTGTGCTTATTTCTTTTGGATTGTTATTAATAAATTGTGAAATTGACATTGAGTATATTTTTAATAACTATCAAATTATAAAATATATATCATCATTCTGTAGATATTAACACAGCAACTTCTATTTAGTTTACTGAATAATCATATCACAAATAATATAGTTTTTTTTGCTCAGTTAAATGCAAATTTTTATTGTTTAGCTTTATTAAAAACAAATAATCTAAATTGTTTTAAACATACATCTAAGTTTAATCTTTAGATTGCAACATGAAATTGGTATCTCTTCAAGTACTGATACCTGAAATTCAAAATATAACTTGTTACATTGTTTCAGATAAAAATTTTACTAAATAATTTTTATAATAGAAATAAAAAGAAACATGAATAAATATTTTACTTGTTTTTCAAGATCTTCAATTTTGTTCTTGATTTTCATCCAGTTATCACTCTCTTCTTTAACTATACACATCTGTTTGCTGGTCAATTTATTACGGATATCATCAGCCTGTTCAATGAAAAGAAAAAATAAAGGTATCGGTAGACCTGTTATAGAATGTTTAAATATACAAACCATAGTCAAGTATAGCTTCTGTTGATAATGGGTTACATCAATAGCTAACAGGCACCAATTTTACCAGTTTCATGTCGACTTCACCTATCAATGGTTCCAAATCCATGTTAATGTATCTTTTTCACAATTTCTTAAATCTTGTAATCATTTTCCCTTTTTTGCCATGATAATATATAGTGTTGGATTGAAGTGGGGGGGGGGGGCATACTTTTATTTCACTTTGGTTGTTTAACCAATAACATGTCACCAATTGACATATTTACATTTGTAGTATTTCTTTTTTTGTCATAACATGTTCTGTTTCACATTAACATCTGTTTGCCTTATTTCTTGACCATCATGTTTCTGTTGAATTTCAAGAAGCTTCCCTCTAAACTGTTGGCCCTGGAACATAAGCTCAGCAGGACTGTGTCCTCTAAACAGGTGTGACATGGAACGATAATTTCACAGAAACAATACAATTCCTGTTTCCAGCTTTTTCATTCTATTTTAGCGATGTGTATCAGTTTACACAAGGTTCAATTGAAGTCTTCAAGTTGTGAATTAGCATGTGGCAAGACAGGTGTAACAGGTTGATAAAGGAAGTCCATTATCTGTTTTTAAATTTTTAGGAATGCCAAAGGCTAAGAATACTTTATCAAGTGTTGGCCTTTATTGAAGCAACAATTTCCACCTCTGGATATCTACTGTATTCATCAGAAAGTACAATCAATTATTCCCCAACTGGGTACAAGTCCCCAAAAAATCTGCTGTCACATTATTCTCAAGGGCCATTTGGCAATACACTAGGTTGCAGTGGTTCTCTAACATTTTGATATGTAGTTGCTTGACAAGGCATCAGTCCTTGATTGAATCATTTTCTAACTTGTCTAGCTAGGGAAACTAAAGCCTGGAATAAAGTAATTGCTTAGTTTTTACTAATCCCATGTGACCTTCATGTATCACATTTACAAGCTTTTTCTGCAAAGCAACAGGAATAATGGTCTGATCACTCCACAACATATCAGATTTAATGGAGCGTTCACCCCATATTAGAAGGTAAGGCCTCATTTCACTTGTATTTGTAGGTGATTTGTTGTTCTGCAATAAATATTTAATCTCTGCTAAAATGTTATCACTTTCAGTACCCGACTTAACATCCTCAAGTCACTACAGGAGGTAAATCAGTAAAAAACAGTATTATGAACATAAACCTGAAAGACTTCAGCTATTTTAAACTCCAATTTTGAAATTTTAGACAGAGGCAACAGATGACAAGCGATGTAGTCAGTTGGATTGTGCTTTCCAGGACAATGTTTAACATGAAAATGAAATCCAAGTAATTTTAAGCGCATTCTTTCTACTCAAAATGGTGCTGCTTTTCGAGGGTTTGTTAAACAGGGAAACTAAAGGTTGATGATCAGTAATCAAATCAAATTTTTTTCATAATAGGTACAACCAAAAATGAACACATGCAAACAACAATCCTATAGCTTCATGCTCAAGCTGACTGTACCTCTGTTCTGCAAGCATTAAAGATTGATTGGCATATGCTATTACTTTGTCTGTTTTGTCTATTTGTTTCTGCACAATCATAGCACCCAATCCTTTAGGAGAAGCATCACAAATTACCTCATTACATGCCAATGGAGAGTAGTATCCCATTACTGTTTTTGTTAAGGCACTTTTTAGCTTATCAAATGCTCTTTGATGATCTGTAGTCCAAATCCATTTTGCCTCCTTATGAAGTAGTTCACAAAGTTTCACAGATTTTGAAGAAAAGTTCAGTATAAATTGCACACTAATGGTTATCATTCCCAGGAAGGAACACAATTCCATCAATTTCTTTGGTGGTTCAGTCTGTTGTAGAGCCTCTACTTTGTTTGAATCAAGGCTCACACCATTCACCAAAGATTTTACACCAAAAACATCTATCAGAATTAAAAATGGATTTCCACTTATTCAAAGTCAGTTCAGAGGCACGTAATCTTTCAAAAACTTTTCAAGTGCTAGATCATGCTTTCCATCCTTTCCAAAAACAAAAATATCATCATAAATGTCAAACATATCTAGTATATCGGAAATTTTTTTTGTAATTCTTTGTGAAAAATTTTGGCAGCCAAATTTGTCCCAATGTTTAGTGTACAATATCGATGAATGCCAACATGAGAAGAGAAAGCAGTAATATTTTGACTATCAGAGTGTAACTTGAGTTGATGGAAACCATTATTTAGGTCCAATTTTGAGAAACGATTTAATCCATTTAGCTGATGACAAACCTCCTCAACAGTAGGAATAAAATATCTTGTCTCTTTTTATATCTTTATTTGATTGAACCATGTCTAATATCACTGTCCTTTTTAAGAACAATAACAATAGGTGAGACCAAATCAGTTTGTCCATCAATTATGCCCACAGCTTCAAGATGTTTCAGTTTTCACTCAACCTTTTTCTCTTAAGAATGCTAATGAGGTTGGGAGACTAGTTTAGCATTTTTATCTGTGTAGTTTAACCAGTACACCCTTCATTTTGCCTATTCCATGAAAAAAGATCATTGTATTTTTTTTTACCAATTTATCCATACAAGTGGAGTTGCTAACTTTTTTTAATAAATTTTAATATGTCAATATCTACTGCTGTTTGTAAACTAATTAAGGACCCTTTACTACCTTACACCACATAAAAATCAGCAACATGTTGCTTATGTGTGGATTCAATACTTGCTTTAAAGGTCCCTAAAGTTTTCATAGTACTACCCATATATGTAAATAATTTGATATATGTTTTTCTTAAAGTAATGATCTTTTTTAGTTTTTCATAATCCTGAGAGTCTATAATATTTACATCAGCTCCCGAATCAATCTGCATAATCAACTCTATTCTATTTATCTTTATTTGAATTTTGGGGTCAATTTTGTTTACCATTACTTTATTCTTATTTTTAATATTGCAAATGTCTCTTCAAAAATTGTCTGAACTTTTGAATTCAACCTGCATACTTTTGAAAAGTGGCCATACTTATTACAATTAGTACATTTTTTCCAACCACTGGATATACATTTTTACCACCAAGATGGAGCCATTCTCCACCACAATTAACAAGACATTTTGGCTGAATTTACCTGGTTTGAATTTCACCTTACATACAGTTTCCATCTTTTGACTAGCTTCAATAAGAACAGCCTGTAGAGAAGACATTTCAATAGAGCATGCAGCTCTTAAGAGGTTATTTAGATTAAGATCATCTCATAAAGCTAATCAACAAAGTGGATCAGAATTTCCTTTAAAGACAATTTGATCTTTTATTTCTCTATCTAAATCATGGAATTAACAATGCATACCTGACTGTTGAAGTCACAACACAAATTTATCAATCAACTCTCCTCCTTTTTGTTCTAATCGTCTGAATTTGTATGTTTCAAAAGTAACATTTTTTGATGGCTGAAAATATACAGACAACATATTTTTAACCACAACATAAGTCTCTTCTGCCTCTTGATGTGTAGTAAATATCACCCACTTGTGTCCCATCACAATGTAGTAACAACACCTCCTTTTGTTGTTTGTCTGTGTTGATATTCAATACCACAAATAAATTTTCAAGTCTGGTAGTCCATTTAATCCATTCTTGACTGAGAGAAGTGGGTTTTTCATCCAGTTGAAATTTTGGGAACTCGGATATCACCATTGTTATGTAGGCTACCTGCCTGCCTTCTCTGTGTTACCTTCTCCTCCTTTTATAGAGATATCCCCAAAAAAGAAGATAAATATCACATTACAACCAGGAACAAAGTTCTACGCACTCAAAAAAAATTCATGATATGCACCATTTTGAACTCCTTGTTTCCTTGGCTATATACAGCAACAATTGTATTTACAGGCTCATTATGCATCATGAGACATTTCTGCCTCATCCTTGTAGTCAGGTCTGCTAATCTCTGATGGCACAATACTGATCCTCACTTAAAGATAGAACTCTTTAACCAGTTCCTTAAACGTTCCTAACTGATGCTCTATGAGTATCTCTGCAGCTCCTTTCATTTGCACTCTACTCCATAAGTTCAGATCTGATCCAAGAAGCCACAGTGATAGAGTTGGTCTTCACCTCAATCTCTCATAATCCTCATTTTAAAGCAAAATAGATGCCTTTGTTAACTAATTCCAGTTCAGCCACATTGATATAGGCAACATCTTTCTTTTGTAGCCAAGCAACAACTTCCAAGACAACTCCCAATGCTATACTACTGTCATCACACCATATTACTCCTTTCTCACTTTTGGGCACAAGATACCTTTCACTGGGTCCTGTCTTTTCACTTCTACAAGTTCTTTCATGTTAACAGTCTTTCTACTAGCTGTCTTCACAACTCCTTCCACCAGCCTTCCTCTTTATATAGATACATGCAGTTTACAACCATCCAGCAACAGGGTAGTGACCAATTAACTTCCCACATATTAAGAACAAATCCCTTCTTTATAGTTCATCTTTAACATCAAGAATTTCATTTACTCTCCTAAATACCAATTTTCCTGTTCCATCTTTCATCAGTCAAAGCCCCAATTGTGCCCCACCCTGTAATGGCTAATAACCTGTTTTGTTGTCAGCCCAAATTTGTTAAGGTGACTTATAACCTCTTCTGATGTAGCCATTGTTTCATCCACCAGGATGGTTGCTATTTTCACAATTTTGTTCTTGCATATTTTCATTCTTACAGATCATTTTAAGGATTGTCAACATGAGTTTTAGCGTAGAGTTCAGGTAAGATCCCAGTCTGGTTAGACAGGATGTCTAGACTTTATATTTAACAAACACAACTTCTTGGAAATGTGCATTTGTAGATAACCAGATTTTAGGCCAACAGTTGTTGAAGCACTTTGCTTCTATCTCCATTCATGCATGGTTTCCTCACACACATCCATTGTCTCATCTTCTGTGTGATACACTATGTATTCATTTAATTTATTCTTACAACACAAGAAACTTAAATTTCATGGGATTATATTTGTAATGTTTTATTTTTGTTGTTTATCTATATAATAACATGACTGCAAAACTTGAAATTATGCCATGCATTTATTACCACTTGACTATAACCCAAATTGTGAATTCAAGTAGTTAAACAATGAAAATGCAACTGTACAGAACTTACAATGGAAATGAGAAGTAGCCAAAATTACTTTTGAAGTTTCTATTAATTGAAGGTCTAGTTATAAATAGATTAGTTAATAAATATTAAGGCCATTTCCTAAATAAATTGATGAATCAAAGTAGTTTACAGACAAAGCAAAATAAAATTTCAAATAAATTTGTGAAAACATTGACTTGCATAATAAAATCTTACATGTAGTTTATACATTTAATAAAATCAAAAATATCTTTAAAAAAAATACCACAGAATACAAGATATAGAGATGCAGTGCAACTTTTTAACCATCTTTTAAAAATAGATGCATCCATAGAAAAAGCCAAGTAAGTATATTACCAAAAAATTTGTAAGTTTTTCTATAAAAAAAAAATTATTTAACCAAGACATTATGAGTTTGTATGCAATGTAACATAAAAAGTATATAGATCGTTAGCAAATTTGGATGGTATATATATTCCGTATCAAGATTATAACTCCTGTTTCAAGATACTCTTCAAGTAAATAAATAAAAACCAGGATTATATAATTATTAACATATAAAACTACTAAACTGAGTGAAGGATTCAACAAAAATCCAAGCATTATTGTAATATGCCTTTTATTTACAAATGTCATTAGTTGGGTTTCTTGTATTTTGTTTTGTTTTTTAATTAAAAATATAGATCAGATTATTTGTTAAAAGACTAAATGAGTTTTGGCTTGAAAGTAAAAAGCAAAATGAGTTATTTCCAGAAAAATAAAATCTCCAAAAGCTGCTTATCACCACTAACCTTTTTTGGTAGTTTATCATCTTCCAAAGAGTGACTGATCCCATCTGATTTTAACTGTAAAATTTCATGAAGGTTGTGGTAACAATGCAGTAGCTGAAGATTATCAACTCTCAGATACTTCTCATGTTCGGAAATAACTGACAACACATCTCGGTAATAATTTACAGCATCTGCCAGCTAGAAAATAAACATATAAGTGAAATTAAAAACAATTTAAGCTTTAATTAAAATGCGAAATAATAAAAAATAAACAATGTAATTGTAATAATTAAGTTTTACAAAGCTCATTGCATGAAGAGCTAATAGAAATGTGTTTAAGTTTCAGCAATATGGCAAAACAAACCACTAAGATTTTCAAAAGGTGTTGATATTATTTTTATACCATTTGCTATCAGCACATGAAACTTAAGAATATATGATCACATGGGCTAAAACTATTGTTAAATCTTAGTCTCCCTGATAATCTTTACCTTGATTTCATATTTAACAATGAATTATCTATTATTTTCCAGCATGTTCCAAAATATCAAAAATATTAACAAGGGCTAATACAAAGGTCAACTCACCTGATCGTTAATTATGGAAATTCCAGCAAGTCCATGACGCGTGGAAATAGCTTGACGATGAGTTTCTTCACATTCTATGGTTCCTTTTTTGATCAAAGACTCCAAAAGTTCTTCCATACTCATTGTTCTAAACACAAAATATTTAAAGTCAATAAAACATCTATATATGTACTGTTCTTGAAAATTAAGTAGAGAAATTAAATGTACATAAATGTTTTACTTATTTGAGTCATCATAAACAATCCAACTCACTCCTTGTTCATATACTGAAACTCTCCTCTTACAGCTTGAGGATGACAGCAAGCTTGCCGAAGCTTTACCAAAGGTTGGAGTATCTGATAAAAGATTAAAATAAGATCTGCATGTCTATATGTTATATTTCCAAAACATGATTTTACATTTTCAGTTCAAAAACATTTACATTAAAAAGTTGAAAAAGTGTATTTAAATCTTTGAAAATGCCAAATGGGAAAAGTTTACACATTTTTAATGAAATAGTTATTCCATTTAAAAATATGGAAATATACAATAGAAGACAACATTTTATTAGAAAATTAAGAAAGTTATTTTTAGAAATATGTTTATATTTAAGAAAACAAAATTAGTTTGATTTTACTATCTGAAATATTAAAATGTGGAATTGTGCAGTGCATACTACTAATCATCTATTTAAAAAATATATTACAAAAACAGATACACTGCTTACTGCCTTGACAATTAGTTGGCACAATGAACTATACATAATAATTTTATGAGATATTTTACTGAATCATAAACTAACATCAATAATACTGATCACTTAAAAAAATGTTTTAAAAGTTTTAGATAAGTGAACAAGATAATGTTTAGTTTTTCTAAATTCAATTAAAACAAATATAAACACAAGTTAAGAGTCAGTATTTTTCTTTCAAAATATTAAATTTGCTTGAAAATAAGATATTTTGTTGAAGTATGAAGTTAAAACAGATTAGAATTATAAATAAAACCTTTTACTTACACGACTTAAGATTTTTCGATCAATGTCACTGAGTTTTGTAGTATTGCCTCTATATTTTGATAATTGCTAAAAATAAAAGCAAATATGAAAATAAATACATTTTATATGTCCATTATTAACCTGAAGCACTTCAATAAAAATATGTAATTATAAGTTACTAATAAGAATGATGATTCTTCAGTACTGAAAATTAAATTCTTAACACAATTCTGATATTGTCATAAAGCCAGTTATGTAAACATCATTAGACAGAATCAAAAATGTCTGATTTCAAAACAAGACCACACATATTTGGTAATTGGGCAGCAGCACATAATTATGATATTATTAAAATTACTATATCTAAAAAAAGGGAGAAAAAATACTTTTTATACTAATTATTTAGTCATTTTATGATAAACAATTAGCAAATCATTAGATGTTTTCTGATAACATTACTACAAAATAAATTTCAAACTAATTTTTGCTCTTACCTACTCTTAGATCTATAAAGGTCTAAATAATCAATAGAAAACTATCTTTATGCCTGAAAATGTCTATCAAGACATCATTTATAATACTGTGACTAATTTTATATTAAAGCTGTAGGCAATCTGCATTCAAACTTAACAGAGATCATAAAATCCTTACTTTGTAAACTTACACAAAATATTGTCATAGACCATATAAAGATCATATAAACAAGTTCAATACTATAGAGAAATTCATTAATCAAGCAATTACTTTCTTTCCTCAGAACTGTGCCGAGATAAAATAGCTAAATATATTAAATTTATAATGAATTGTTTTATGCGTGGCAATTTAACTACTCATTAAGAGAAAAAATTCTTACTTTCATAGCATCTTTTGAACATTCTCCATACTGTCGCCTATAGAAATGTTCTTCAACTGGAATGAATGACAATAAGTCAATGCGTTCTGTCTGGCATGGTATGTTAATCTAAAAGAACAAAATTAAGGTTTTTGAAAAAAAAAAATTGTAGGATATCAAATTTCCTAAAAGAAGTCTATAGCATTACATTCTGTGTTAAAAGATTCTAAACACTTAGTTTTACTTGGGTTCTATCAAAATATTTTTGCATGTGATTTGTAATTCTCTTGTTTTTAATAAGGTCTACTTAAATGAAATTTTAACAGCTTTATTAATGATAAACAAAAATAAAAGGAAAAAATCATTATATTCTTTTTGTTAAATCTAGTTATTTTAAAATATCATAGCCAAGTATTCAATGGAAAATAACAATATCTACCTGGTTAAGGACATCTTTCTTAGCAGTCCGCCAGAGTACACTGGCAATGGCCTTAAATAAAGGTTCTTTAATTCCATGTAGATAAGGTTTGTAGAGCAACTTATTCCACCATTCTTGCACCCAATAAGGGTCAACCTCAAGGAATAGGAATAGACCATACAAATCTAATATAAAAAAGAAAATTTTGGATAGTTATTTTTGAAAAGAGAAATGGTTAAGAAAAAACAATACAGTCCATAGAGTAACATTTTTTTTAACAATCACTAATAATTAAATCAATATGAGCAAATATCATATAAATAAAATGTAAAAAGTAATAAATCAATATTGAAAGAAGTAACAAAATGAAATGTAATTGTAAAACAAAAGCTTAAATGGTTTTAAAGTCATTTATGTATTTTCCTCTAAAGTAAATTAAAAACATATACCATGATTTTAATTCTAGTATGAATTTTAAGAACTATAAAAGAATAAACAAGTCATTTAATTTCAAATTCAATTAAATATGAAACTTTTTCAGATAAGTATTTGCAATTTAAAATAGGCTATAAAGATTTAATTGAAAATGACTTTTACCAAAGTATAAAACTGTTTTGAAGTTTAAAAAATGTCTTGATAACAATTTTTGATTTTTATAATAAATACTTTGTAATATTTACATATTTTATTGGTTGGGGAAGCAAGTGTCACATATTTTATATAAAAAATAGTTGGCGATTTTATATATCACATATTTTATATAAAAAAATAGTTGGATTATATATATATATATATATATATATATATATATATATATATATATATATATATATATATATTATATATATATACTTTAAAGTTAAAATCAAAGCTCTAGATGTTATTCTTACTTTCATTTTATTTTTTCATACGTGTATTGAGCACTTTTTAATACTACTGTTCCTGGTCTGATTCAACTCTTATCATTAAACACACATATATATATATATATATATATATATATATATATATATATATATATATATATATATATATATATATATATATATTTAGGTATTACAGGCTACATATCCTAAGGCCATTAAGGCAGAATCCTATATCTAGACCAGATTTTATTTTGCTGTTATAGTGGAAATAGAAGTTGATTATGTGTATATATATATATATATATATATATATATATATATATATATATATATATAAAAACTGATTTAAAAATATGGTTCCTATGCTACACAGGAATTACCATGTTTCAAAAACAGAAACTAACAACATCAAATTCAATTATTTAATTAAATTAAAAAAAATGAAACAGAACTAGTGCTTTTAATTTAATTAAGTAATTGAATGTGAAGTTGTTAGTTTCTGTATTTGAAACATGGTAATTCCTGTGTAGTGAAGGAACCATATTTTTAAATCAGTTAATTTATAATATTTATGCTCTGTAAATTTACATTGAGCACTGTTTTGTAAAAATAAAAATATCAATAAGAACACCAGATTATATATCTTACTGTTCTTTCTTTTTACTATAAAATATATATATATATATATATATATATATATATATAAAAGTGAACATAGAAGTCAACACTTAGAGGCGACAGTCTGTTTCATGCTATATGCAATCGTCAGGCCATATATATATGGAGCTAGATAAAGTATTTTTATTTGAACAAAATATCTAACTGAATCTGATCATCTTTAAGTATTCAATTAATAAGCTTATTCTTTTTAATAATTAATACTTAGAAATCCTTGCAGTGAATAACAAAAATTAAAATTAAAAAATAATAATTGTAAATAAGTGATTTGTCAACTTAATAGCAATATGGTAAAAGGGGTTACATTACCATCAATATTCTTCTGTATTGGAGTGCCAGTGACACACCATCTATTAAGAGCAGTCAATCGAGAGGCCATTTCTGCTGTCTTAAAAAATAAATGAAAACGCACATGCAATAAAAAAAATAATAGATAAATAATTATATTATTAACTGCATCCCATATTTTTAATTAAATTAAAAAATGAAGCTAACTTAATTTTGATAGAATATTTATTGAATGAAAATTTCTTATATGATTTATGAAGCATTGGATTAAGTGCATTGAAAGAAAATGTGGAATGCAGTTAATAATAGAATTATTTATATTGAAAAATAAATATTTGTTGTGTAAAATAAATGCTTTTTTCCTCAACATGCTGCAGACTTATTGATATACCTATGTACATGATTATTTCATGGCATAACTTTAAATGTGTATTATAAAAATATATAAAAATAAATTAACCATTAACATGTAACAGCTATCAAATTGTTTATAATTGTATTCATAATTTTTAATTCAAATGTTACCATAAAATTATATATATATATATATATATATATATATATATATATATATATATATATATATATATATATATATATATATACCCACAGACTGTTTCACTTTATCACAGCTCAACAGTGTGGCTAGATGTGTGATTGTTTCAAGCCTTGATTGAAACCCAACCGATTTGACATCAGTCAGAGACTCTCACCCTTACACCATATGACCTTGAAATAATATTAAATTTGATGTATCACAGATGCAATGCCCTAAAAATTGTTCATATATAATGTCATCACCATTATCATTAACTATATCTTTAGAATGCAACTATAATAAAATATTATAGATATAACAAAGGAAATGTTTTTTTATGTAACATACTTTTGTTGAAGTACACTCAACCATCTGGGCTTCATCTAAACAAATCTACAACAAAGAAAAGAGATATTGAAATGAAAATTTAAATCATATCTATATTTCAATATTTGGGAGAAATGTGATATCTTCATTTTTATATTTCCACAACAGTATTATTTTGTCATCTTTAGTGCTGAGGGTTTTTAACACATTCTTTACATAATCTAAGTATAAGGCAATATATTAATGAAGACCAAGTGAGGATTAAATTTTAATGACTTGCAAGAGTAACTTGTTACTCCTGGATAGATTTATAAATTTTAATTAAACTTATTAAAGAATGTAATTTTTTTCTATTCACAAATGCTTCGTTTCTTGCGATTTTTAATTTATTATATTTTGTGCTTATTTCCCCTTGAGATTGACAAGTCAAAGGGGAAGTATTCATCCTTTCTATAAGAATTCAACAAAAACAAACACAAATGGAAAACTTAAAAAAGAAAATTAGAAAATCTATTTCTGTGACAATGACACAAGATAAAAGTTCATATCAATATTATTGACAATTTAACATTTGAGTCAATGAAGTGAATTCTAAAAATTAATTAAACCTACCCTCCACCACTGAACAGCAACCAGTGGACTTGGAACAGTCATAAATCTTTTTGGCTGGCGGAACTTTTTCCCTGGAATGAAAGAAAAAATTGCTAGAAACAGAGGAAATGCAATCAACCTTGAGAAAAAATAATGCATAAAATGTTTAAACAGAATCCACTAAAAAATGTTTTACAAATAAATTGTAACAAAATTTTTTATTATACATATATTAATTTATTTTTCTTTGAAATGTGTTGACATCAAGAACATGAAGTAGAAATTCAAATTACCCAAACAAAAATTAAAATTTGAGTGACTCTTTTCAAAGTTTTAATTATTGTAAACCTATTCTGTTTACTATTAACCCTTGAATTAATTTCTGACCACTGTCATGAAACTAAGGGTCAAAACTTGCTAAAAATTTCAAAATTTGATGCTTGGTCATCAATTTTATTTTCTCTTAGTACCAACCATATTTAGTTTGTTAGTGCAAAAAATGATTAAAGCTTAGCTTAGTGGATGAATGAGATAAGCACAGTAAATTTAGTAGGCAGCAATAAGAAAAAGTAAAATTTTGTTTATGTATAACAGGTTCAAATGTAGTCAATGCTAAAATAAAACTATAATCAATTCCATTCATTCACCAATAGAATTTGCTTTGTTACTATATATGTACCCATTAGAGTGAATTAAAGTACCTCTTCACCCACAAAGAGTCAAGACAATCATGTAGTCCAAAGTAGTGTTCTTTTATTGGGATAAGAAAGGTTGTGAATGGTCAAGACTAGTAAGGAAGTGCAAGCAATTACTATATTTCAAAGCCTATTAAAGTTGCCTCGATCTTCATTCGGATTTTCTTTTTCAAGAGATAGCACAAATTCTTTTCCAAGGTAAGACTTAGTTTTTCTCCTTTGACACCACATTATCACATCGCATAAACTGTGATTTTTTAATGTGTATCAGACAGAATGCTGGTTTACAGGCAAGACATATTACTGCTGTTGTAAGGAGTTTGTTATATTCACCATTCTCTTAGGTTAGTAAATATCTAGTCTCCCTAATTTTGGACAATTTAAGAAAAACTGAAAAACAATCTTCACTGCAAATGGCAAGTTTTAGAAAATAAATATACTTTTGACAATGTTAGCTTCCTCTCACCTAACTAAGATTTTATCACACAGAGCAAATCATTAATGAAATATTAAATTTAGCAATATGATAACACAAAATAACAGATGATCCCACTAAAGCAGAAATTTCTGTTGTTTAACTTTTACAATGAAGAACTGAAAATTCCATACATTACTTTTTAAACTAAGTAGAGCATGTGTAAGCTTACAGCAATATCATGTTGAAACATTGGTTCTCAATTGATCACTGAAATTAAACAATGTTGAGCCTGGTCAGTAATTAGATGGACGACTCCTTGGGAATATCAGGTGCTGTAATCTTAAATGTGGGAGTGATGTGATGGATAATGGTTTGGAATGAGATATCTGAAAGCCAAATTCAAATTCCAGTCTAGTTCAATACAATCATTTACACACAAATATTCTTAGGAAAGCTATGAATCAATCTCTTCTCCCCACAGCTAGTTAAATAGAAGGACAGACTTGGTCCTGTAGCCTTGGTTGGCAGCCAGTATACCACAGAAAGTAACTGCAGTCTACTACAGGAATTCTTCTGCTACATCAATCATCAATTGAAAAGACACATGATTACCCAAGTGTTCATTATACATGCTATTTATGGAAGGGAGATCATGTGTGGATGTGCCCAGAGAGTAAAATTACTAGATAGAGTTGAAATTTGATAAACAATTTTTAACACCTATAGTGTTAGGGACATACCAAGTTGTTACTGATAAAAAAATATTATTTTAACATCTCTGTAAAATAAAGAGCAATTATTGGTCATAATAATATTTGAGTTTCCTGCCTATTCTTTAACATGCTATGATCCTTATTTGTGAGATAATTGGAGAATGTGTACAATTTAACTCAATTACAGGAAATAGTTATGGTTGATTTTGAGAAGAAAGAATTTGTCTACTGACAAATTATGTGACCTCACATAATCATAAAAAGTAAGTTTCAAAAATTTTATCTCAAAAGTTGTAGGCATTATACAGTGACCAATATTTAAACATTTTAAACTTCAACATTAGATCATTTCAAAAATACAGTTATTTTTTCTTTTATAAAAATATATTGAGTAAAAAAGAGATTTAATGGTATTAAGAGTTAATGATCACACAAATTATTTCTGATAATAAAAGAAGCAAATAATGAAAATTACCAATACTATGTGGCAAATCAACATAATTGAGTTCTTTACACAGCGTTTGGTATGTAGTCACAACAATATCAAAAGATGCCAATTTGCAAGGGTGCACATAACTTTGTTTATTTACACCTTCATAAACCTAGAGTAAAAGGAAAAAGGTAAAGATTAAAATATATACGTAATATTATTCAACAATAAAAGATTTTTGCATGCAGAAAATTATGAATATACCTTATTTGATAAACTGAATAGAATTGTTTTTGTATAACTTGATATTTTTTAAAGTGATATATTTTTTGCAAACATGATTTTACAAAAAAAAACACACAAAATACCAACAATTATTTTCTCTAGATTTTTCCAATATGTTTTTCTTTTAACTGGAATATTTAAGATCATCTCAAAAAAGTTTATCTAACAAAATAGTCAGCTCAGTCCTTATTAGTAATATTCTAAGAATATTGCAGTTCATAGAATAGACCTAAGTTCCTAGATATATGAGGGGTCCTGAAAAATTCACAGCCTGAAACACTTTGCCAGATGTGACCAAATATTTCTTTGTAATTCATTCTCAGTCAGACCAAAAACCTTTCAGCACCCTCTAATATATCAAAATTGCATAAATTACATAAACTTTTACTTACAAAAACCTTGACAGATCCTTTCTGTAAGTGTTTTTTAATTTCTTCTAGCCATTGATGATGGATTGACATTGGAGTAACAATTAGCGTGGCACCAGATGGAATGGGGTCCTGGAAGAAGTTTTAAAAGGATTTTATATTAAATCATAACTGATAATTTTATTTATTTATATATATATATATATATATATATATATATACACTAAAGAAAAAAAAACTATGCTGGTATAACCAATAGACAATTTGTCAAAAGACCTAACACCTTAAATAAGAGAAAGGAAAGAAAAAAAGACTTAAAGGAAAACACCTACCTACTCAGTAAAGTGTTCAATGCGGAGATTACTTAGTGTAAATGCTTCACAACATTAACTTCTATCAAAAGACAGACCAAGTTGTTACTCAGGTTTCATGCTCTTGCAATCTTCAGATGACTAGCTAGAACACAAATGAAAGAAGGTGGGGTGGGGGGAGTCTAGCTTTATATACCCATTACTGCAACACTACTACCTTAAAGCACCATGGGAAAAAATAATACAAAATAACTTTAAAAGCCTGTGTATAACCCCTCCCCTAGGGGGGAAAAAAAGAAAATAAGCAAAGGACCCCACACACACATATATACACACACCATAAGTGGGCTTAACTAGTTATCATGACTGTATTATTAAGGGAGGGGGTCAGAAGAAAAAAAAAACAACAAATAAACTAGTCAGGTGGCAAGTGACACAATATGTATTTTATTTTATACCTTCCATAGATCAGGCTGTTTTTAATCTACAATTGCACCTGGGTCCAATCATTGCTATTGAGTAACTTTTTAATTTTAAAAAGTAATTTTTTTTTTTTTTTACTGAATAGCTTCTTCATCTTATCAGAAGTCGCAAAAGTGTTTTCTAATTAATTTTAGAAACATTCCTCCTATATTGGGTTTTACAGATTTACTATATGGTGAATTAAACCATATTATTTTTCTACTCCTATTCTTTTTATTCTTGTTTACTAAATTTGTGTTCAGTTTTTTGTCCATTTTTTTTAATGCTTCTTTAGCTCTTTGAAAGACTTCCTCTTTTTTCAAGTCAGTAAATTATCTACCAACAATTGATTAATACATGTGCTTAGTGACAACAGGAGGATGATCAAACTCAATGCTGATGTAGTATAGTGGTATATTTCCAGGTTTTCTGTACAGTTTATATTTTCCTGTGTATAGGTTTAAACTCACATCCAGATAGTTCACTAAAGCTATAGCCCTATCTAGCAGACTTTCAGAGATAGAAGGGTAGAACTCCTTGATATCAAATTGCAGAAATCTATGCTTCTTTTCTTCTATATTATCAAACCAATCAATGGCCACCTTGGTAATTTTTCTAATATGCTTCCGAGTTCTTTGCACAACCTTTCTAAGATTACCTTACTAATCCTCTTTACCTGGTTTTTAGTTAGGTTAATTAGCCTACACTTGGGTTTACTTCTGAAATACGTTTTATGATTTTTAAGCATTATTATTACTTGCTTTTTCTCCACTTTCCCTATTCTGTTATCAATTTTTAACTTTGCTGCATCTTTATTGATACCTTCCTCCCAATTCAAGAGTGTTTTCTTATATTTATCAATTATAGCTCCAGTTAGCAACTTCTCATAATTTGCCTTCCCAAGAATATATAATTTCTGAGATTTACCCCTCTTGATATACATATTTGATTTTTTTAATCTTTTTTACCTCTCTTTTAACCACTTTTGAAATCTACTGCTAACCTCTCTAAACTAAATTATTTACTATAGTAAAAAGCTCTTCCTCAAATTTCAACAATTCTTTTTTTCAGAGGTGGACATTTTTTTTTGTATTAAAGTTTTCAGTTATCTCATTAGTGTCTTCTTTATTTGAGAAAAAAAACATTCCACGCCATCTTTTTAATAACTTCTCCAAATTTCTCAACTAGCTTTATTATAAATTCATACCAATTTTGTACAGGTATACTCTTAAGTGAGTAACCAAAAATAGAAATCATCACAAAAATTAAGAAAAGGAATAAATAAAATTACACAGGAAAAAAATGCCAGTTTGTTTTGAAATATATATGAATTTATATATTTGAATTTCATAACTAAAGCCTTGAATTTATTCTGAAATTTTCATAGGCTATGAAATCAGAAAAGTTTTTTTGAGCAAAATTCTAGATATAAGTGCTATAAACATACACATGCCTATAAACAATTTTTATGTTCCTAAAGAAAATAGATTATCAAAACATCATTGGATTCCATGCAAATTTTAATGAGCTGAATTCTGAATAAATTAGGAAACATGGTAGTTCAAATGAAAACTCCATTGAAATTATTTAATGTATAAAAAGAGGAAACAGAACTTAAAAATTTAAAAACTCACTTATTATACATAAATAGGCTTATTAATACTAAAGGAAATTCAGAAAACTCAAAATCAATAATTTATTCTATTTGGCTTCTATTATCTTCAATTACAGCCTCATCATGACATGGAAAAGCTTCACAACTCTTAATCAGGAAGTCCTTAGACATCATAGCTGATTACTCCAGTCTCCAAAATGTTGATCAAGGAGTGGAAGGTCTTGCTGGTGGCCTGCTCCAAAATGCCCCATACAGCATAGTTCAACACGTTTAAGTCTGAGCTTGAGGATGGCCATTAGCCAGAAATCAGCAAAGTTAGCTTCTTGGCTGTGTGGTTTGGAGCAACATTTTGGGTCTGCACATAGATACCCTCTGGTGAATTGAACTATGGTAAAAATGATACCTCAGAACTTTGTAGTAGACATCAGCACCTTTCTTTTCTCCAAGCTTGTATATAAATGGAAACACCTTTTTTACTGTCAAACACCATGACATCCAACAACATAACCTGAACTGAATGATCCTGAAAGTGTCCTTAACATCAATTGTTGATTCAGTGAAGTACCAGCCATTTTGGCAATACAAAACAGTCTATATGATGAAGATTTTTTCATCCACTGTAAAATATATTATTTGATGAAAAAAAATTTTCTTTAAAGTGCCTGACACTTTTTGCATCTTTCCAAATTCCTGGCCTTGATAGATGCCATGAGAGGATCCTAATGTATGATATAATGATCAGGTCATCACACATGCTTATTCTGAAACTCGAGATCCACTTTTAGCTCAACAGCTATCTTAAACATGTGTGGTGTTCAATTCCTTACAATTCTGCTTCTTCTGCATGCCATGGCCCATACCTATGGTCTTTTTGACCTTATAGACAGTACATAATGACATATGTTGATGTGAACAAACCAAATCTGACATTCTTTGTTATTTGTTTTGCTATGAAGCTATATTTCATGATATTCATGAAAAAATGGTATGTATTAATAGCTGAAGTATACTCTTAGTTCTACATTTGGTTTAACATCATTTGATATAATAATTGATGAAAAAGTTTTAGTTTAAATTTTACTGCAAGTTTTGTTTCCAGACACACTATAAAATAAACAAATACTCACAGATCCCACTTGACAGTGTGGACATAAGAATGAACAGATGTTGAGATCTTCATCACAATCAATGCAGTCATAATGAAGCCAGATACCACAAAACTCACATTGGATTTCATTTCCAATAAACTCTGTAGTACCACAGATACACTGGAATTCTATCTCTTCTATATTTTGGTTCTATAAAATAAAGATTTTACTAAAAAAGTACATTGCAAAATATTTTCTTAAAAATATTTGTAAACAATTTGGTTTTATATACATAGGATATTAAGATTAAAAAAAAATTAACTAGTAATAAGATTTAAACTAATATTCAAAGAAAAGTACCAAGTTTTCAATATGCTATATCTCTTAACTCAAATGTGAAACTTAGTTCACACATTTTAACATCAAGTATTTATGAATCAAATGTCTTCCTATGTTTTAACTTATCAGAATTTATAAACTTTTCAAAGTCAATCTTTTTTATAAAAAATATTTTTAATATTTAAACATTGACTAATTTTGAAATACCAAATATAAAAATAAGAACATAATGAACATGCAAGAATATTATCTCCGAGTCAAATTTATGATAAATTATTTAATAAATCTATTATATAATAAAAAGTGATTTATTTTACATATGCTTGTAGGTTAATTAAATATCAGTACATTTATTTAAGAAATATTTTAACTTTTGCTTTAAAATTATCTGAGACAAACTTTTGACCATTCAATATATTGTTTAAGTACTATAAATTAGAATCCAAGGAAAAGAAATTGCAGTGGCCATTTTTGTTTTTAACTGTATTTTTAAATTATATAAAATCATCCATATCTCCATGCACTATGTTTGTAATCAATGTATTTAGTTATGTTCCTTGATAATTGAAAAAACATTTTTGATCCCTAAAAAAGGGATAATAATACAAAGAAATCTATAAAAGAGAATTAAAATTACCCGCTTAATATTTGCTGAAGTCAAGGCATGGAAGTTTAGAGTCCACTGGGGCAAATTTTGTCGCGGATTGAGCAAAAGACAAGATAAAACCTCAACTGTTTTGCCCAGGCCCATTTCATCAGCAAGAATCCCACCAGGTGTCATTGTAACAACTGTTGGTTTTTTATCTACTATACTGAAATGAGAAAAGTTGGAGTTTTTTTGTTATCATAAACTTTAATAGTCATTGGTTTGTATGATAATAGAAAATATTAAATTTTATTACAGAAAGTCAACTAATAGTAACATTCAAGCCTTAAACTGGAGCAGTTTTTAATTTTATTATAGTTTTTATTTTCTTGTATAAGTGTTTCCATGACCAATACCTTTTAAGCTTCAAATCTCTATGTTCGTGTTTTTTTACACAGACAAAACACAAACAAAACAAAACAATAAATATTGAGGGTTTATATCACCAGGACAAAACCAGCCAAATCAAATGCATAGTAAAACTAATAATAACTACAACCTTTAACAAACAAGAGTCTTATGTTCAGTCAAACAGAAAACAAATGAAATTTTTTTTAAGAGAGATATTATGGGACCATAACAAGAGTTTTTAAGAAAATATGAAAACAGCAAAGTCTTAGGTGGGAGCTAATAAATTTGTTAATAAATATTTTTATATCATCAACTTTCATAAACATTGATTTAGATCAATGTGGTTATTTTCTTTAGACAAAGTTAAAAAGCAATGAGTGTTATAAAAATTACTATTACTCTTCTGTGTCAATCAATGGGTGCACTCCAGTATATCAGCAATGTACAACTGGTTCACTTAAATATTACTTTAGCTTCATTAAAGTAAAAACTTACACGTAGTTACATATATAATTTACAAATGTTTTGAAAAAGAAATTAATAACAAATAGAGAAAAGTGGAAGAAAAAGACATTCTTGAATATAGATCAGCAATAAGTAAATACAGTATCAGTTTTAAATCAAAAGAGAAGTGTAATGTAAAAAAAAAAAAAATAAAAAAAACAGCAGTGATTGACAGTTTAGCAGATTGTGTATAGTTAAAGAAAGACAACTAGTTTAATGTATGGTAGCTGTGCCTATATCACTTACTAAATAAAAGGACTGTTTATACTGAATGAATTTTACTATAAAGAGGCAAACATAAATTTTATAAATTTACTTTCTAATACTACAATTCATTCTAATATCAAAAAGTGGCCCTGTCATCATTTGAGCCTGTTAATTAAAAATAATAAAGACAAAAAATTATAACATATTGAAGTAGGGAAATTCTGAGCAAGTCTGATCATTAAAAGATTGATGTGATCACAAACCTAAATATTTCTTCTACAATTATGGGTTAATGAAAATAACTCAGTATGATTTATAATTATATCCCCAAATGATTATAATTAACTTACATGTTATTAAAATTTGTTCTTTCCTGAATAAAAATGCGTAAACTTATTTAATATTTCATGTGCTTATCTGGTGATAGAGAAATTTAAATGTGTTTGTTGAACTACCAGAATGCTTTTAATTACTCTCATTATTGGCAAATTATAAAATATTATAAGAAGTTTATTCAAGAATAAAAACACTTTTCAAAAATCTATAAAAAAATTTTTAAAAAAATGATGTAATAACTCATTTTTAAATATCCAAAATTGCTAAGGCAAACACTCACATTCCTCCATACTTATTATAGTATAACACTTTTCCATCAAGTGTTTTAAATTCCACAAACAGAGGATGCAACTGTCCTGTTAAGTAAAAAATAAGATAATTAGATACAAAATAGCTTTAATTTTGCTTGATTTCAAAATAAACTGGAGATACCTAAATGCATACTCACAAACCAAAGAGCTATTTTTTCTCTGAATTTTAATAAAGTATTATTTTTTGTTTATTAAAGATCAAACTATTTTGTATAATAAAGTATATGCAAAAGTTTTTTGTTCATTAAGGTTGATAATGGAAATTCACAAGATTATATTTAACAAGTAAAATTTGAAAGAATAAAATTAAAATCTGATAAAATTGTATCTTCAGGGTAATATTTAAATAAAAATTACTTAAATGTATTAGTGTTCTCCAAAAATAGAGCCAACAGAATGAAGCTGTTCAGTGACACTTTGAATTTCCTATCAAAATATATAAATATCAATATAAATTTTTCATTTTTTCTACAGTTCCTTAGAGATTTTAGTAAATAAAAATGTTCTCAAATGCATGGATTTTTCAAATCCAATAATTTTACACTTAGTACATAGGGATGCACTAAGTGTAAAATTATTTTGAAGATATTTATTTCTATGCTATGGCATGTTATTATTCATATATGCTAATATTCATGTGGAAAAAAACTTTCTCTCATTATTTACATTCAGACTATTGTCCTCATCTTTGTAGTTGTTATCATATTTCATCTGTTGAGCCTTCCCGCCTTCATCGGGTGTATATCAATCTGGGTAACATACAGGAAATTCTGGATTGAAATCTTTATTTAATCTACCGGGGTAGACTGTTCTCTTTCTACTACTTATGGCTAGAGATATCCTGTCTGGTTCTTATTTTTTTAGCACTACTCAGTTATTGCTAGTGTGTTTCCATTGAGTTCGGAGATTGAATTCACAATTACTATATCAACAAAGATATCATGAGGTGTGAAACGAAAACAGTCTACTCCATAGATTAAATAAAGGGGTCAGTTTCCTGTAGATTAACCAGATCTACATACACCTGATGAACGCCAGAGGGTACAACAGCTGAAACGTGATAACAACAAAGATGAGGACAATAGTGAAAATAACTCTTCAACACCAGAAATCCAATGAAAACTTTGTTTTGCACTAATGTCTTTGGAAAAGGTATGAATTCATCTCTCTTCTTCCCAGCTCTGGGTTAAATAACAGGGTTGCTGGGATCCCTATTATTGGATGGCAACCGATCTAGAAAGAAAATCAGGGAGAAAGCAATGGGAAATCACTACCTTTCTCAAGAACTTGTTGGGATTGCTATGAGTTTGAATATGTTATCAGAAGGTTTTAATATTAAGATGATTAGTTTACTGGCATGTTCACCATATTAATCCACAACAATATAGAATATAGGCATTCAAAAACGAATCAATCACAAGGCAATTGAATAAGAAACACTGGTAATTAGGTTTCAATAAAAACAACAGACATTTATGTACAATTAATATACAATTAGAAAACTTGTGGTTTGATAATGCAAGAATTGACCATTGATAAATTGGGTGTCTTATTGATTTACAGTTCAAAATTGTTCAAGTGTTAAAGAATTGGTCAAAGAGAGTAAAATGGAAAATGTTACTTATACAGAAATTTGTGTAGTTTGTGTGCGTGAATAAAGTAGAGTATAAATGTCTTAATTTTCTAGAGTTGTTTACCTTGGATTGTTCCGTGTTTATCTTTTGTTAAAATACAATTTCTATGTTAGTAGTGTGCAAGAACACTTTTCTTAGAAAGTTGTAAGTGAATTTTGAGAGAATAATGTCGGTGTTTGAGTCAGCAGTTGACGCTCAAAAAGTTTCTTAAGTCAAAATAGTGACACGCATGGACACGTGTGACATCTCTCTGAAGTTAAATGACTGACTGGTGAATTGGATCAAAATGGTCCTTTTTATTTGTTTCTGGAATCCAAAGTAGGCTCCAGTGAACTGGGCGCGAAAATAGATTTTTGACACTTGTTACACATTTTGGTGTCATCTTGACCAATAAAAAATCGAGATTTGCAATGTGAGGTGTTGGTTGGTTAAAAGTGATGCTGATGGAAGAGTGTATTTTAGCTCAGGGGTGAGTAGAAAATATGGACGATTCTATAAACTCATGGCAATTCACAGATAAGGAAAAGGTATCTGTGGAGAGCCATGATCACTTCCATTCTAAAGGGACACATTATATATATATATATATATAGTCTTAAAAACAAGGAATGTATTGATTTTAATTTTATTAATCTCTAAGGCCCTTTCAACCAATATCTCATCAGCCCCACATAACCAGCAGCACACTGTGGCGCGTACAACCTTGCATTTGGAAACTAGAATCAATCAGCATGTACCTTCCAAAATATGACTTGGTAAGATAGATAAAATATGCTATCTTCCCCCCATAAATATGGAATTGGCTATTGCTCAACACTTAGTTGAGAATATAGCCTGCGCCAAGTCGTATAAAAAAGAGTGGTTTAAAATTATTCATACAGCCGATTCCAACAATCATTTGAAGATTTTGGAATCGGTCTGTAGAGGATTAAGGAAACCTTCTCTCTGCTGACAGAAAGAATTTGTAAAGGCTCTTAATCTGTTGGGGGATATTTTATTTTAACTGTCCCTCGCTAATTTATTTACACGTTATTTCCTCTCCCCTCATTACAAGTATATACATTTGTTTGTTATTTTAGCGTGTTCCCCCTTTTTGCTCTTCATTGTCGTTACTATTCTTTTCGTTAATTAATTATCCAACGATTGTCTCCTGATGAGATATTGGTTGAAAGGGCCTTAGAGACTAATAGAATTAAAATCAATACATTCCTTGTTTTTAAAACTATATATAAATTTTGTACCTCTAAACATTTATATATATATATATATATATATATATATATATATATATATATATATATATATGTATGTATGTGTGTGTGTGTGTGTATGTATATATCTGATTAACCAATTAAAAAGTGTAATGGATTTTCAATATTTGAATGTTTAATCACATAATTCTCTAATATCTGATGATGTTAACCAAAATATTAAAAACATTCTCTTTTGAGAGAGCTGCATTTTTCTCAAAAAAGATTTTCACTTTAATGAAGGCTAAACAAAGTTGCTTTATTATATTGACTATTTCCATTTGTACATTCCAATTACTAATCCAAATTCTTTCCTGGTAAACTCATTTGTGTCCTCAAAAAATTATTGACTTAAGCATACATGCTCAAGTCAATATATACTGAGGATGAATTCTGTCAACTGAAAAAAAAAAAAAATAAACATTTACTTTTCTTACCCTCTCTGTTGTCTTCTCTTTTTTCTTGGTTCAACATCCAGGCTACAGCTTTTTTTTGATACTCTCTCAACTGTGGCAAAAGAGATTCATGTTGTAATTCATCAGTGACAGGTAAAGGCTTTTCTGCATGAATTTCCTGGACAGCTGTATACAGTTCTTCAATATCTGGCTTCTTTTCTGAAGGATTATTATTATAAGCTGAAAATATTACCAAAGATAGAAAGAAAATTTTTAAAAATTAACATTTGTGATGTAACTTAATCTGAATTTTACTTTAAATTTCTGAATTTTTATCCTCTGTTGATTAAGTTAACTCATAAAAATAAAAAGTAGTTCTGAAAAATAAAAAAAGTAATTTAAATCAAAGATGATAAATGTGAATGTCACTGTGTCACACTTTTTTCAACTTTACTCCTAGAGGCCATAGCTGAACATATCATACCATTTTGGAATCAGGCCAACTCTGTGAGCAAATTAAAAACATTCCAGGCCAGATCTGGAAATTTTTAATTCCCAAGTTTACATTGTTTTCAGCAATTTTTTTATGTGGTTTTTGTGACAAATTTTTTGTACAATAACAATCTTTATAATTGGAAATAAATTTGGAAATAATTGAAATTAGTTACGAAATCCAGCGAGAGTCACCCATGAAATAAAAATAATCGTTTGTATGGAAAGTAAGGACCTACATACATAAAATTGTCTTTAAATTAAGTGGTGGCATAAGAATTATCATTAAACTTGTAAAAGGTAAGCTTAAATATTAATGCAATACTTAAATGCAGCGATCAATTTTGAATTCTTCTGTAGTTTATTGTTGCCTATCGCATCTACTACTCCCTTCCTATTGTGATGAAGGTTCAATCAAGAGCCCTCCACAGAAGCTAGCTTAAATAGGGTGCCTTTTAAACTAGTTTTTAATATTCCTATTTTTTAAAGCAAAAAATAAATCCAAAGATTTCTAATTTTAATAAGGTAATTAAAAAAAAGGATTAAAATATATATCTGAAAACAAATGTACATCTTTTTCAATATAGTAACATTTCAGTCTGTTTCAAAAAAACTTTGAGTTTGATACAAAGAAAATAGATTGACTGATAAACTGAGTGTTTTTATTAAAGTGTTCTAATAGATGAACCAATTTACAAAGATGTGACCAGATAAGAACAATTGGATCCCATACCAAATAAAACAATGTTAGCCATATATCTTATTGGAAAAAAATATTTTCTCTAATAGGAGAAACAATTTACTTATAAACACATTTTTATAATTTATTGCCTGATATATAACCAGAAAAATACAAGTAAAAAGAAAACTAGTTTTGAAAATTGTAATTTTATGTTTATTTGTAGGTTTGAACATTTCTGGGCATTTTGCTAATAGAAAGGCTGAAAATCTTACTTATTATAAAAGGCAGATTGTGTGTGTGTGTGTCTGTACGTTTATATATTGGATCGGTTTCCTACATTTTTCAAACCGATTTCAACAAAACTTCACAGGACTGTGTAAAATTACCTTCGATGGTTCTGACAGCGCCTAAAAATTGAAAACACAATTGTTTTTGCATGAAATCAATTTGAAAACACCATAAAACACGATTCTGTTGCCAGAATGAAAGCGGGACAACTCATATCGAGTTATACTTATTATAAAACCCAGTTTGTTTGTGTGTGTGTTCGTTCGTTTATATATGGGATCGGATTTCCTACATTTTTCAACCGATTTCAACAAAACTTCACTTTTTTTTAGCAGGTAGTGTTTCTTATTGCCTTGCACACTTTTTTCTTTATTTTTACATTCAGAATGCTTTAAAAATTCCATTTACAATACAATTGTTTATAATAAAATTCTATTCAATCGATAGACTCATAACGATTGAAAACAATGTTTTTGTTTGAGTTTGGGTTTGACCAATTTGTCAAAAAAAACAAAAAAAAAAAAATAATTAAGACATGCGTGTCTGTCAACCTTAAACAATAATCTTTGTCAATTTTATTTTTCAGTTTTTATGATGGTCGATACTTGATCTATCTCTTACTGTTACATCCCCAGGCAACGCCGAGCTCTACTGCTAGTGTCTATATAAAAAGAAAAAAAATAACAATCACAAAGTGCATTTGGGTACAGCTGCAGAAATTATTTAAGACATTTCTCAGATACAATAACTTAATCCATGAAATATGAATCTTTTGTTTACAGTTAGTCAAAACTTATCAGCTTTGTCTAAATGTTTTGTAAATATAGGCAAATAGGGTGTTTTTAATTAAATGGAGTGGAGAATTAATATGCCCAAAATTTTAAACATGAAAATGCAAGTATAAATTTCTAACTTAAAAGAAATAGTTCTTTGCCTCTTAACAGCAAATATATCAGTTATTTGCTCAGCATTTTCCAACAATGATGTTAGCTAGTTTCTCTCAATATTTAGTGTTGCCATATTGTTTGTGTGACAAATAGTTCTTTTCATGTATGTTTGAAACTGTTGAAGGAGGATTCTTCAGAACCTGTTTTAGCAGAAATAGTTACAAAGTTTTGTACAGTACACCATGAAGATCCTTCTTGTAAACTGTTTCAACAACACCAGTTGCAGTTGCCTATGAACTCAACAGATATGCAAGGTCTGTGAAAAAACTTTGTCTGAAGAATTTTTTCTGCCTTAAGGAGATCCAGATTACAATGCCATAATGTGATATAACAAGTTGATTGTGCTTGTCTGATTCATCTGGATTGACCATTTAATCATGATTTTTCAATATCCAGACTGAAGTTGATACACAAGGACAGTCTCATCTGTTACTGATTCATCAACCAGAGCAATCAACAAGACACCTTCTTCTTCATGGAACTCTTGCTTTCTTGAATGAGAAGAATATTTTTCTTATAGTTTTACCTAAATTTTCAGTATCTTTTTCAAAGTTTTCTGTAGTTAATAAGTGTAAAGTGTCAGATTGATGGGTGTAAAGTGTTTGCAAGTCAAGAGTTGATCCTACTTCTCTGTAGTGGCTTGCTTATATTGGCGTCATTTACTTGCTGCTAGAGTCTAGCACATAGATGGGTTAATCCAATATTGCTGGGAGGGGGGTACCAGTGTTATATCAAAGAACATCCCTCCATACAATATGTCTGATGTATTACGCAATAATAAAAAATTTTTTGGTTGCTGTAGATGTTATTCAAGCTATTATAACATTTACAGTCTTTTCATGGAGATATTTGTCGCCTTGAATTTTGTTCTGTTCTTTTATTGTCTCCTCTCCTTAATTTTTTTTTTCTCAGATTCTTTCATATTCAGTAACCACTTGCATCTTCATAGCTTTAATTGCCTTGTTTGAGGTGAAATAATAAAAAAAGGCTGCCTGTGTTTGACATTATTATTTTCAACACAACCAATCTAATTTTAAAGTAGAAATTAAGTAGAGATTAATAATGTACTGCTATCCATATGTGTTTTGGGATTGTGATTATTTAATAAAACACACCTTGTCTTTACAATATGAAGGAATTACCACAGCTTTTACTTTTTATATTTACAGACCCACCTTGATACACTTGAAATTTAAGTGTCTGAGACTTTCAAAGAGTGCATGTTGTTTGAGACTGGTCTCTATAGAAAGTTGTAGAGGCTCTGAATAGCTCCTAAGTTATTGCAAAGATCAGTTTTTGTCATTGTATTTTAGATAACAAAATTTAGGAGGTACTCATAACAATGGGCAGAGATGTCAAATGGAGAACACTACTTAATTCTTGTTCCTAAATCTCTACAAACACAATTTTTACTGTGAACCATAAATTTTGCCAAGTTTCAACTCTTGCTTCCAAAGTTCTGGTTTCTCCTTCAATAATGAATGAAAATTTCTATTTTTTTTTTTTTTTATCATTTCACCCCAAACAAATCAATAATGCCACTAAAACACAAGAGGTGACAGGGAGTGAAAGAGAATGAAAAGACTTTAGTGAGGAGAAAAGACAATAAAAAGACAGGATTCAAGAAGACAGATTACAAATGACATTGAATTTAAAATTTTGAAGATTGTAGGTGACAAGGAAGCAAGAAACTTGAGAGTTCCACAAGTGAAAAGTGTGAGAAAAGAAACTATTAGAATGGGAATTACAGTTATATTTAACTATTTCAACAGTAAAATGAGACCTAGTTGCTAAAATCTAGTAGTACACTTAAATTCACACAGTTGAGGTACCAAGAAGAGCTTATTAGAACAATGGCTATGAAAATATTTATAGAAAAGACACAGGGAAGCCACATGATGGCAGTGGCAAAGTGATTGAAGCTGAGATACCAGGTCAGGAATAATAATATTATGGACCCTTCTTTAGCTCTTATTGAGAATCTCAAGATATATACCAGAAGTGCCAGACCAGATATAGCAGCAATATTCAATGCAATGATGAATAGTAGATTTATAAATGTGCTGAATATTTTTTAAAAATCCATTCAGTGTTGGTTGTGATTTTTCATACGCTGGTATAAAATTCAGTCTGAGCAGCATGAATAGAAATGAGTGTCAAGTTCCAATCCCTCAGAGGCAAAAATTTGTAGTTGTCTCCATTGTTTAAATTATACACGCTCTGTAAACTACTAGATAATTCACATGCTCATATATGAACTGTTTGTTTACATGACAAACATAAAAATTAAGAAAATGATTTTGAAGCTAGAAAGAAGACTTGCATAGTTATTTGCCACTCCAAAAGCATTGCATACACATACACTTCACAACAATCTTTCTATAACTTTTACACCAAAGCTTCTTTTGCTAATGACTTCCCATAGAACTCCAAACATACTTTTCAAATAATATTTGATATTATGCACATAAACCTTTTAAGAAAATAAAAAATTTATGTTTTAATCATTTTATAAAAATGTCTATTTTTTATTATACTTAATATTCTTTCTAAACAGTCCTCCTAAATTTCATATTCTACTAAAAGTTTATTTTCCAAATATACAGTGAAGAATAGTTAACTTACTGTTTTCAATTCAATATTTTGCTATGTATTAAGTATATCTATTTATGACCTAACAAATGAATTTTTATTATATTAAATGTAGTGTGAAGGATTACTGAATAATAAAGGCACTCTTTACACGTTACAGATTTCAACCATGGACTTTTCACAATTGCCCTGGAACCATTCCCCACAAAATCTTAAACCCTTCTGAAATCAAAATGGGTTTCATTAAGAGCATAATAAAAACATTGTTAAAATGTTTAGGAAATAAATTAAAAGCTAAAATATCAAAGTTTTAAAAATGAATAAGTACAAAAACAAATCAGTTAATTTTTACTGTAGTTTTTATAAATATCACAGATTTATTTTTGTTTAAACATTTTGGTTAAATCACCTCGAATGATTTTACACAAAATGTTCACATTAATTTTCATACTCAGAATAACTTTTGCCATACTATAATTTAAAATTGTGCTTTATTCTTTCATTTTCTATATGATGGATATTGGTACATTCCAACTATTCACAATTTAAAACGTTTTTAAAGTTTTTATCAACAAATTTGCCATTCACAATTACCAGCTTTGTAATATGACTAATTTTCTTTTTTCTATCATTTTTAAGTTCTCCCTTGTATTTTCAATTTAGTTTATGATAAACAAAATAAGTTGTTTGTTAATGATTCATTCATTTTTTTTTAACACTGACAGAAAAGATATTTTTCTTGCTTTGATTTTAAAGCAAAATTAGTTCTTACAATTAGATCCTCATGTTTTCCACATTTAGAGATAAATAATACAAATATCTAAATTTAAATGCTTCAACTTTCATTTTTCATTCAGGTTTCTTTCACTAGTTTAAAAAGAAGCACTTAAGTTTTGTTTATTTATTTTTTGTGTGCATGTATACCTGCTACATGGCTGTGCTGACCTATTGATTAAATAAGTAGATACTGTTTCTTGGCCTTTGTAACTGAAATTGTAATTGTTTTGACCTTAAAGAGAGGCTGTGTGTGACTAACTTACAATTTAAAAACCCTAAAAAATTGACGTTTAACTCATGGAAATAAGAACACTGGGTTAATTCCTGCAGTACTAAAACAATAATGGAGAAAAATTTTTAAAACTTCTTTAATATTTATCAAGAATTTTGATTAAAATGCTGAAACTATATCTAAAAATCAAATAAATTTATTCAATGCAACCATTTGTAAAGATTGTCAATTTCATGTTTTAGACAAGTAATACATTAAAAGTTTTGTCTAGCAAACATGGAGAGATTGAATGGCAAACCTTGTGGCCTTCAGTACAATATACCAACCGATTGATACTTACATGATTCTTGCAAACCATAAAAAAACTGCATCAGGCATTGGATTGCTACAGAGGTTTTCTTCATTTTCACAATTTCTGATGGATAATCCAGTGTGGATAGAACGCAACGTTTTAAAAATACTTCCATGCTAGCAATGCCTTCCTCAAAGTTCATGTTTGCACATTGAACAATCACAATCTGGCATTTCATTGCATTGAACAAGGATTCTGGCACATCACTATCAACTTGAAGAAAGTGTGCTTTGGCCAAACAGCCATTTTTTTTCTCTTTCTTATCTAGTTGCTCCTCAAAAAAGAACATGCTATTTTCCTTCTCTGTACTAGCATACCAATAGCAAACAAGGTCTGGTGACAAGCCTGTATTCCATGTGAATTCATTGTGTCTGTTCTTTGAAATATATATTTGGAACTTGCCAATAGACATCAGATTTTCTCTACAACTGATTGGAGATGTATGCACCTTAACAAATCCATAACAGGAACTTAAGTAATAATTAAACTCCTCTTCAATTTCATCATTCAAGAATTCATAACCTCCACATTTTTTCTTTTTCTTCTTAGAAACTGGTTGTGGAGATGAAACTGGAGCTGTTTGATCAATTAAAGGTTGCAAAAGATTTAATGTGACATCTGCATTTAATTTGTGACGAGGATTTCCCTGTTTCCGCTTGCCCATCTTATAAAATATCTAGAAAAAAGAAGAAAATAAAGCAAAATTAATAAGGTTCATGAATACATTTATTTTTTTAAAAGATTTAGTAGGTTATATTTTGCTATTCTAAATTTATATCATTGCTGTAATTGTAAGATTTACTAAAAAATTTTATATGAATGAGCCAAAAAGTTAGCAAATTCATCTATTTTAGAAGCAAATGTTCTTTTTAAAAACCTATGTTTTTAATTTTAAGTGAGAAAAAAATGAATTATGAGAAAGTGTTTAATTATTTACAAATAGCAATTTAAATTAAAATGTTAAAAACTAAAATGTAATCAAAACAAGTTAATTCCAAAAACTGCTGTAAAAATCAAAAACAGTAAGTACACAATTACAGAAAGTAAAGATAATGTTGCAAGTTGAATTTAATTAACTTTCAAAAAAATAAAGTATACATTTTAAAACATTTTTTCTTAAAATATCTTCTTAAGTTTTTAATTAATTTGTCTTTCTCTTTGTTAATAATACGGTTAATAATGACCAACAATATTTCAGGTAATGACTGTAAAATTCAAAATCAACATTCCATTATTACTGAAGTGAAGATGATTCGCGTGTACGGTGGTCGAAATCGTAAGACAAAAAAGTAAATTCAGAATTCAAGGTCTGCAAACAAGAGAATCAATGAATGTCAACAATTTGTCTAAAGATTGGTATTTTACTGTATTTTTATGTTTCTTTGCTTTACAAAATAAAAATTAGTATAAAAAATATTTTTAAAGCATGATAAAATCTTGTAAAAATTAGAAAATTATGCACCAAATTTTAAATTATTTTAGGAATAGTTTAACAGCGTAAGGCAGAGTATATAATTTTTGTAAAAAAAAATATCAATATCAGAACATGGGAAAATTAATTAAAATTTATTGTTGCAATCTCAAAGAACAATCAACTTTTGTAGTAAAAGTAAATCATTATTATATATATATATATATATATTATATTATATATGTATGGAGTGAAAAATGTTTTTCTATACTAAAAAAAAATGTTAACAATGAATGACAGAACCAATAAACACACACACATACACGCATGTTTAAAAAAAACTTTCAAATTCTAAAATTATTTAAATTGCCGCATATATTACTTTTGGTGAATTATTTTTCTGTTAAAAATGTGTGTGATTTTTATTCGCTCATTCATTTTTAAAGAACATTATTAGTACAAAAATAAAATCGTTCTTCACCACAACATCAGCTATGAAAATTTAGAAACACCCAGTCATTTGCATGGAAAATACCCAATAATTTGTACTTTATGTTTAAAATTTGCAATGTAAATGGATATGTGATAGAAAATAATAATCAAATGGGTGTTTGAATATTAAAAATTAAATAAATGTGTACAAACAATATGTATCGAAAAGATTGTTTATTAATATTTAAAAATGGCCGATTCGCTATCAGGATATGAGTGTCATTAATTTAAATTTTTGGTGTTGCAAAAATAAATTAAATATAAATATTTTGTGTAATCATCTTCCAGGGACATAAAAATGTTTGGTATAATAAAAATATAAAAAAATAAATTTTACAGGCTTCTTATATGCCAATAATAACATTCGTAGTTATTACCTTTTTTATATGCAAAGAAGAGTAAAAAGAAACGTGAACGAATATTTTTTTGATAGTCATAATTGGTCTTTCTGATTAAATATTTATATCTTTTTTTTACAGAAGAGATGATTACACTTTAATCAAATAAAATGAAATTTTTGTACATTAAAGAAATTTATCTACTTTCATTTTTAATTGTCATTAACTTAATTTGTGAAACGATCCATAAAATGCCTGTTTCTCAGCTGAATTTAATACACATAATGATTATCATCATATTATTTTCTAAATAGATGTAAATTAAATTTATAATGTCTTAACTTACTTGATTCGTTACACAAAAAAATGCCGCTCAAACTTGTTTATATCCCGTGTTCAGGAAAAAAAAAATACTTTTGTTGCAAAACACAAACATCTCAATTCTTTTGTTTGCTAGTGAGTGCAGTTTGTGCGAAGCTTACTCAGTGCTATATATATATATATATATATATATATATATATATATATATATATATATATATATATATATATATATAGAGAGAGAGAGAGAGAGAGAGAGAGAGAGAATTTATTTCAACCAAAAAAGGATTTAAAAAGATTTCATGTGTGAGTTTTTTTCATTTCTGCTACCCGTATGTATTTTATTTTTTATTTTTTTTATTAATGCTGCATTATAGCGGAAGTAATTCTATTATCGTCTGCTAACAACACCTAAACATCGTGTCTTAATTTGACAATGATTTGCCTATTTCAATGTTAATTTTAAATTAATCAATATCTATTTCAATCTTTGTTATCCTTTGTAGACACTAATATTGTTAAGTCCTAATAAATGTAAGTGGGAGTATTTATGAATAGATTTAATTTTAGAAAATCTTTTATCTGTTACTATTTTTACAGATATAATTTAATGAAAGCTGTATAAATGAATAGAAAAATACTATATATATTCAGAAAACTCTTCTTTTCTTAAATTAGTAGTCATCACATATACTGATAGAATACAAAAGTCAATATTATGAAAAGAATTGATCAACTATGAACAAAGTCATGGTAAAGAAATATCAGTACTTTCCTATTTACTTTCCTAACAGCCCTTTTTTTTTACTAAAGGATTAATTATTAATATAACTAAAATAAAATTCAGAATGAATATATTCACTTATTCATCTATTGGCATTTTGAAAAATAAATAATTACTTTTATAATTTTTTGTTTAATAATCTAACCTAATCCATTAGAAAAAAGAAAATTGGATGTTGAAATATATACTGAAAAATATTTTGCTCTTTTGATTGAATTTATAAATATGCATTTTATCCTTAATTACATTGTAGATGTTTACTAAACTGTGCCTAAATCTTACACAAAGTCGCACAAGTGTGACATTGACTGATAATTACTACTCACCATTGCTCTACAGTGGATACTCATTTTTCTTTTCTTTGATATACAGTATATATAATACGATTAGATTCATGTCCTCATAAAATGTGAGAAGGTATAAAGATTTATGCCACAAAGATTCCTGTTTTAGTAAATATAAGGTTAATATTTAAACCTTTATGAGTATTACTTAGCTTGGCCTTTCAACTAAAAACATGATATCACACACTATTAGTCCCATCAAGTCTGTGCCACCAATTTATATGTGAATGGCAAAGTTTTGTGACTAATATGTGTGTGCTGGTATGAACATAAAATTCATATACTAAAATATTTTAATTAAATTAATTACTTAAATAATGTGGCACAGCAAAATGTAAACATATAATCATTGAACATGAATAAAAATTGACATATGACAAGAATAACATCTGTCTATATTTCTGAGATAAGGTATGGTAACTATTTACACTGTTCAGACTGTTGGCCTCATCTTTATAGTCATATCCACAATGTTTCAACTATTGTATGCTTCAGCCTAGTTCAGGAGATATACGTTGAAATTTTGAACTGAACCCTTTCCAGATGTCTCAGTTATCTTCATTTAACTCAATTCTCCAAGTTTTTCACCACTCACAACTCTTTGGGTCAAGTCACTGGATCCAACCAATGCTTTTATCCACTGGGCCATGCGTTCTTGAGGACATCAGTATATGAATTTTTGGGACTTATTAAACTAGTGATAGACTAATTCAAAATTAAACAACTAAAACAATTTTTTATCAAATCAAAAAGGCACAACAGTTAAAAGCTTATTTTGAAATAAAATTATGTTAATGTTAAATTGGTTCTTTAAGCTGGACCTGATTGAAACCACAGATTAAAAACCTTGCTGCTTTACAAAATCCCTAACACTTGATGATACAATCTTATTCATGTAATCTGTGACATTAATATATACATTTTTATGCCATGTCATTTCAAAATATAAATCATTATGGCTCTTCACAGATTCTACCTTGCTATTTAACCCATAGATATCTATATAGTTAAATCAATTAAATTCATGGCATAATGGTAAAAAAAGCATTTATTTTATACAGTAGTGATAGACAAAAAGTTATCTCCCCTTGACCCAAGCATCACTAGCAATAAAAATTATAAATATTCATGAGAATAAAAAACTGTCACGTGACCTGATGAGACCTACATGAAACATCATTAGGCAGAAAAGTCAATCTTTTTCTTTTGTTCCAAATTAAGGTATCAAGATGCATGCATTTCAGGCTCATGACAAACCAAACAGATAAGTACAAAAATTGATATTGTTTTTGATACATAGTCTTTCGAAAGCAGATAAATGCTAACATTGTATTAAGAATCTCGAATATAAATTAGATATAC